CTGCTCTCCTTGTGTCACAGGGGGCTGGGAGCCTACAGAGGACATTTCAACGAGTTCGTTGCCAGCTCTCTTCCAGATAGCATTTGCCATCTGGGGGACTACAAAAAAAGAAAATCCTTTTTAGAAAAAAATAAGTTCTGCTTTCGGCAGTGCATCCAGCACAATGGTGGTAGTTGCAAGTTTCAGAAGCGTCAGCACCGGTTTCCAGCTGTGTCGAGAGGTGTGTCCTCCTGGGCTCCCCAGATCAGCAGTGGCCGAGTCTCCCTCAGAGGAAGTTACAGTTTCATGATCCCCCCTCACTCCTCTTGTTCTTCCAACGTCTTTGTAGCCAGTTTTCTGCGTTATAGCCCTGTCTGGATAAAATATCTAGGATAGATTTTCTTTTCTAATCTGGACACTGACCCCCACAAATTCTCTTCCCCGTGCTATTAATTACTGACAAGTTCCTTAATATTTCTAAGCTCCAATTTTCTCATCTATTAAAAAATAACAACTATCATGAAACCTGTTTCTGCCTAATTAACATAACATTCATAATACCCAAATGAAGTGATCATGGAAACTTGCAATGTATAGTGACATTATTACATGTTTTATGGTTTCTGGCTAAATTTCCTCTTGTTGGTCACATCTTTCTCTTTCTAGAATTTCCACAGCCTCTTGACTATTTCTAAATCTTAATCTAGTTAAATGTGTCAGTTATTTCTTCCTCTGAAAAGGACTAATTTAACCTGCTACAGCAAGAGCTGTTGCTTCATAACCACTGAGGGTGATTCAAACACAAAGCTTCAGTTGTTTCAATACTGTCATTTGGCAAATGTCACCAGTGAACCAATCACCCTGGCTTTCTGCAACTGTGCAGAACTAATTGAATGCCATTGTTGGGCTTGAGCAAAAAAAAATACGTGGTAGACACAAAGGAAGACTGACCTCAGTATCCCAGTTAATGTTCCTTGACGTCTACTCACATAACTCAGGCCCCTCTTAGAAGAAGCAGGACCTTCTCCTTTATCCCTCACGTCTTCCCCAGTTATTCCTGGGAGTTCCCAGAAACATCGCTCCCTGGGTGCTGGAGACCAAGTTCCCTCCTGTTCTCTTGCTCTACCCTTTGTGCCAAGGGTCCTGCGAAGGCCCTTTAGCCACATGCTCCCTGAGGTCTCTCTCTGCAGTGACCTGCTCCCCTGGCCTGCCCCATTCCCGGGCCACACGGGCCCTCTGGGGGAAGTCCGGTAAAGTGACAGAGGTAGAGGAGAAGGGCTGGCGTTTGATTCCAGTGTAGCTTTCTCCTTAGATGGCTTTGCATGGTTCCCCACCGTGGATTTATGGTATCATCGTTTCTAGGATGTTCTTGGAGGAAAAAAAAAAAAAAATCTGCTAAGATAGACCAGACCAGCCCTTTTGATGTTTTTGACTAGGCAATACTTTGTTGTAAGGAGTGTCCTGTGTGCTATAGGATGCTCAGCAGCATGACACACTAGATGTCAATAGGCTCCCCAAGTTGGGAAACCAAAAATGTCTCCAGATATTGCCCAATGTCCCCTGGGGGCCAAATTGTTCCCTGTTGAGAACCACTGCTTTAGGGTCTGTGGATCCTGAATTAAGATTCTCCAGGGAAACAGAACCAATAAGACATGTGTACAGCAGGTCCTCAAATAACATAATTTTATTCCACATTGTTTCATTCACTGCCATTTGCTGTAATGTTGCTGAGATACAGTAGGAACTAAACTCTTGTTTATATCAGTCTATGGCAAAATTGGTTTCTTTATATACTATTTTGCCATAGTTTCAAGAATTTATTGACAACATTAAGTGAGGACTTACTCTACATACAGAAAGAGATTTATTATAAGGAACTGGCTCATGTGATTATGGATCCTGGCAAGTACAACATCTGCAGACTAAGCCAGCAGATTTTCCCTAATTGGGTTCTAGTTTGAACAGGAAGGCTGTCTGCTATAGAACCAGGAAGAGCGATGTTGCAGATGAAGTCTGGAAGCAGTCTTCTGGAGAATTCTCTTGCTCAGGGGAGGCTGATCTCTTTGTTCTGTTCAGGCCTTCAATTGATTGGATAAGGCTTACCCAATTATGAAGAGCAATTTGCTTTACTCAAAATCCATCAATTTAAATGTAAATCTCATTCAAAAACACTCACTGAGCCCGGCTGGTGTAGCCCAGTGGTTGAGCATTGACCCATGCACCAAGAGGTCACCAGTTCGATTTCCAGTCAGGGCACATGCCCAGGTTGTGGGCCCGATCCCCAGTGGGGGGCATGCAGGAGACAGCCAATCAATGTCCTCTCTCATCGATGTTTCTATCTTTCTTCCTCTTCTTTCCTCTCTCTCTCTCTAAAATCAATGAAGAAAAAACAAAACAAAACAAAAACACTCATTGAAAAACCCATATTAATGTTTGACCAGCTCTCTGGACAGCCTCTGGCTCAGTCAGGTTGACACATAAAATTAACCATCACAGAAACAGAGTATCAAGACACTTAAAGTCACTGCCTCCTAGAGCTCACGTTCTAGGCTATGACCCAGATGACAAACAAGTGTTTTAGTCATCTGTCACAGGGTAACAAACCACCCCAACTTTGTGGCATAACACAGCAACCTGTCCATTATGTGCCTGTATTTTTTTTTTTTTAACTCATCTTTATTGTTGAATGTATTACAGATGTTTCTCCCTTTTTCCCCATTGACCTCCTCCTCCCCATTCTCGCTCCCTCCTGCCTTCCCCACACTATTGTCGGTGTCCATTGGTTGTGCATATATGCATAGAAGTTCTTTGGTTTATCTCATCCCGCCCTCCCTCCCTCTTTCTCTTTGAAGTTCATCAGTCTAACAACCAATTTGTACTTCTTAATTCCTTCATCGTTTTCACTCCCTCCTCCCCATCTGGCAAGCAACAAAAAGTTCTCTGTATCTATGAGCCTGTTTCTGTTCTCATTTTGTTTGTGGATTCAATTGTTGATAGATATGTATTCATTGCCATTTTATTGTGCCTGTATTCTTTAGATTCAAAATTCAACAAGACATACAGAGGGATGTCTTGTTTCTGTTCTTCAGTGTCTGGGGCCTCAGTTGGAAAAACTCAAACCACTGGGAGTAACATAACTGGCGGGAGACTGGAGTCATCCGGAGGCTCCTTCAGTCAGGTGTCTAGAACCTGGACTGAAATTATTGAAGCCAGGCTCATTTAGGACTGTCAACCAGAGCACAGCATGAAACACTCCACGCGGTATGGGCTTCCTTTGGTATGACAACTGGATTGTAAAAGAGAACACCTTGGAGGGAGTGTCTGAAGAGTGAGTGGTCCAAGAGCCCGGGCAGAAGCTGCAAGGCTTTTGCAACCTGACCTCCAAAGTGCCGCCTCCCTCATATGCTATTGGCCACAAATGAATCACCAAGGTCAGGCCAAATTCAAAGGTGGGAAATTAGGCACTACTTCTTTTAAAAAAAATATCTAAATTTATTTTTTTAACCCAAATACACATTTATTTATAAGGAAAAATTAGTACATGTACAACTATTTTGATAAACACAAATATTTGAAGTCAGGAGTTGGGATACAGTTATGTCAGTCCACTTCTGCAATTTGGTTTTGGTTGCACATTGGTGAGAATATTCTGACCCACAATATAAGTATTAGCAAATGGTAATAGTTTTTATTACCTTATCCACCAGCACACTGTGTAGGTACCACCTCCTGATGAAGGAGTGACAAGGTCATAATGCAGATTATGTCAGATGAGAGATATGGATGGAGGGATGGAGGGATGGATGGATAGATAGATAGATAGATAGATAATTATATATAATATAATTTATTTGCCACCACACGTAAGCAAATATCTTATGTAATTCATTTAGGTATAGCTAAGTTGAAGTGATTTTCAAAATATTTAGATTGCAAATGAGTACAAAGGTTCTTTAGGGGATGATGAAAACATCCAAAAATTAGATTGTGATGATGGGTGCACAACTTGGTAAATTTACTAAAAATAATTGAATTGTATACTTAAAGAAAATGAACATTATGGTATGTAAATTACACCTCAATACACCTGTTAAATCCACAATTGGCACATCACAGGCACTGAAGGATCAGAACAGACCTGGATGCTGGCCCTAGTGCTGGAACAGGGCTCTGGAATCTCCTTCGCTTAGTGTGGCGAGGAAAGGTCTTAGGTGTCTGGGGGACACAGGTGGCCAAAATGACAGGGAGACACTTAGGGGTTAAGAAGGGTGGCTATTTCCAAACTTGTATGAAAGTATGTTAGTATTTTTAACAACCAACACTGAGTGTTTTGAAGCAATAAGGTAGGGTAAGGGAATAGAAATGACAGGCCTAGGGCAGGAGGGAAAGCATTTTATTGTAATTTGTTGTTGTTGTTGTTGTTGTTAATCCTCACCAGAGGATATATTTTCCATTGATTTTAGAGAGTGGAAAGGAGAGAAGAAGGGGGAGACAAAGAGAGAGAGAGAGAGGGAGGGAGAGAGAGAGAGAAAGAGAGAAACATTAATGTCAGAGAGACTGATTGGTTGTCCCCTGCATGCATCCCATCCGGGGCTGGGGATTGAACATGCAACCCAGGTATGTGCCCCTGACCAAAAATTGAACCCATGACCCTTTGGTGCTCAGGCTGACGCTCTAACCTCTGAGCCACACCATCCAGGGCATTTTATTTTTTTGTCCTCATGTGAGGATATGTTTGTATTGATTTCAGAGAGAGAGAGAGAAACATTGATTGGCTGCCTCCTGTATGCACCGTGACTGGGGATCAAACCCAAAATTTTTTGGTGTATGGGACGATGCTCCAACCAACTAAGCCACCCTGCTAGTGCTGGAGAAGCATTTTGTATGTGGGGTGGTTAGGGAAGCTCTTTCTGCGAAGGTGAACTTTGAACAAAACACCCAGTAAAGTGAAAGAAGGAATCGGGCGGGATCTGGAGGGAGAGAGAACCAGAAAAAGGGAAAAGCAATTCCAGAGCCCTGAAGCAAAAATGAGTCACGTTCAAGGAGAAGCAAGGAAGTGGGAAGAGCTAGTTTGAAGAGAGAGGGGAGAGGGCAACACATGCATTTCTTTCATAGGATCTCGGGAGACACCCGTCCCTACTTCAATAACAAAGTAACTGAACAAACTTGTAGGAACTGGGATAAAGTCCACAGAACCCATGAACTTGGTCCTTGACGCCCCATTCCCATGGCCCTGACGGAGCATGTGAGCTTTGCTCTACTGTGAATGCACGGAGGGTGAGGGGTGCAGGTGGCGTCAGGAAATACCGAGAGAATGGAGCTCCTCCGGGGTGACCCCCCAGGGAGATTGCTAGGGAACCTCCGTGAAGACAAGGATTTCTCTCCTACTGTCGAGGACTCGATGTTCCACCTTCCCTGCAATGGGCTTCGTGACCTGCACAGCTGCTCTTCTGCATAAACTTCAAAAACCTGAAGATGATATGAAGGAATTAAAGCAAGTCACTGGTTTAGTGAATGAAACAAATATTTCACATTAAATAAAGAAGGCTGAAAATGGAGTTCAAGACTGAATATTGAGCCCTGGCCAGTTTGGCTCAGCGGTTGGAGTGTCGGCCCGCGGACCAGAGAGTCCCGGGTTCAGTTCCCGCTAGGCGCACGTCCCCAAAAAAAACAAAACAAAAAAGACTGAATGTTGAAAATGAAAAGGGAAAACTGTAGAGAGGAGAAATAAGAAAGAGGAAAGGGGAGGATTGGGAAGGTTTCTGCGGGTGTATGCTTCTGGCAGGTGTCTGGTGTGTCTGGCGGTAGAACTGACCAGCTGGAGTGCCCGGGCTCTGGAGCCACGTCTGATTCTTACACAGATTTTCTTCCAGAGGCGGTCAGCGGCCCGGGACACCGGGAGAGGCTCACTGCAGTCTTTTGGCTACTCCAGAGCTACCACTTTTGTCATAATTATTTAATAAAAAAGAAGAGCGGTATGGACAAAAAAGGGGGTTCTATGAAAAATAGCTTTAGAGGGTGATCTGATCTGGTCATGGTAGGTTACATGCCAGGCATATAACTTTTTAGTAAAAGGTTTATCTTTGCCTTAGGCAAGCCCTGCCCATTGTTTCTGGACATACAATTTTTTTTCTTTCTTTATTGATTTGAGAGAGAGAGAGGAAGGGAAAGGGAGATAGAAACATCGATGAAAGAGAACATCAATTGGCCACCTCCTGCATGCCCTCATTGGGGATCAGGTCCACATCTGGGCATGTGCCCTGCCCAGAAATCGAACCAGTGACCCTTTGGTGCATGGGTCAATGCTCAACCACTGAGCCACACTGACTGGGCTATGCGTATAATTTAACACAACTTTGAAATAAGCCATAACCACCCTCAAGAGAGCACATGAACTATCCTGTAATCCAATCCTCACCTTGCTTCTCCAGCCTTCCTTACACCCCCTCCTTAATTTCAAAGGCATTTTTTAAAAAGCTGCACAACTGTTCATCTCCAGAGCATCTGAGGTTTTGCTCCCTGGCATATGTTGTCAGTATGGCTCAAATAAACTCTTACAGAAATTCTCTACAGGTTTAGTTGTTTCTTATGTCGACAGACTGAATAACTTTTATGTTCAAGCCCTTCTGTGGCCGCCGTGGGAGCCAGCCACGCAGACTCTCTGGGAAGAACTGCTGTGAGGCCAGCGGCAATCAGAGCACTAACACGATGTTCTCGCCCAATGTCAATGTCTCCAGCGGGCAATGCTGGTTCTGCGGCTGCCCATGCCGGGAGACGTCCCTAGACCTGAGGCTCTTTGTACCCCACTCCCCGTCTTCCTCTTTCTCTCCCTTCACTGGTGTCAGTGTGTACTCAGTTGAATAGTGTCCCCCCAAAATTCATGTCCTCCAAGAACCTCATAATGTGATTTTCCTTGGAAACAGATTCTTTAGAGATGCAATTAGCTACGATAAGATCATACTGGATTAAGGAGGTCCTGAATTCCAATGACTGTCATCCCACCGGAAGGCCATTAGAGGACAGGGAGAGAAGACAGTGGTGTGAGGACCGCAGCAAAGACTGAAGTGAGCCATCTACCAGCCAAGGAAATTAAGGATTGCCAGCAACAACCAGAGCTAGCAGAGGGGCATGGGATAGATTCTCCTGCAGAAACCAATGTCACCATCACCTCAGTTTCAGATGTCTAACCTCCCAAATTGAGAGAGAATAGTTTTCTGTTGTTGGTAGCTACCCAGTGTACAGCACTTTGTTATGGCAGCTCTAGAACCAAGCGCAGCTCCACGTTGTGGTCTGAGGCTCTCTGGGTCGGCCCTCTCCTTCCCCCCTCCTTTACGGACATCCCCGCCTAAGACATGTCCTGCTCATTTAGTTTCATCTTAGCATCTACTCTCTAGAAACTCAAACTGACACAATGACCCAAATGAAAAGTTAGCCCAATTTTCATCTTTCTATCAACATCTTCCGAAAAGGGTCTTTACCATCAACTGAGCAAAGATTGTCAAACTGCTACGACTCCCCAGGGACTATGCTGAGTGGAAGGGGTGTAAAGATGAGCAAGACATCAGCTGTCCTCTAACTGCTCTCTCTCGAGAACAGAGTTTTGTCTTGAGGAATACACCAAGAAAAAAAAACCCTTCAATCTCAATACAGTGGCCAAAGTGTCATCATCAAGAAATGCAAAGCAGATGATGGCGGTGGAGATGCCGAGCAGCATGAAGGCTGCCTCCCCGAGCCCGCAGAGCGGGGAGCCAGAAAACCAGCACCAGAAGAGGTGTAAACAAATGCTGAGGCTTGAAGATGTAAAGGAGCTGGCTGGGGGAAGCCACATCCAATAGGAGAGCGTGCACACAGCAAAATGTCTTCTTTATGGGACTAAATTTAAGTGGTGCTGAGTTTCCTCCGCTTTGGGAAAGAAGACAGGAGAAAGTGTGGCCAAATCGTTTCTCAGAAGTGGGCTGTGAGCTGTGCTGGTGCTGAGGACAGTGTGGGGTTTTCCTCAACCTGCCCCTGCTCCTCGCTCCTTACCCAGTCAGACTCACCCCTTGTTTGGCATGGGATTTTGGAGACCCTGTCTGGAGTTGGGATTTAGACAGTGTCAGAGACCAGGGGTTTCCAGGGGTGTTTCAGCAGTGAGATACCCCAGGTAAAGACGGCACGTGGCGCCAACATCAGGAGGGATCCACCAACGGCAGCAGCAGCTTTATTCGATACTTCTAAGGGCTTTCATAGACTCATGTGGCAGGATACCCTGCCCGGGGCAGTGCTCGACACAGCTTCAGCTGTGTCATACTAAAACACCATGACACCTAGAGAACCACTTTGCAAATAAATTGAGCTGCATCCAGAGACCTGAAGCATTTGCTCCCTCGGGATGCTCCTCCTCACTCCAAGCAATGCCTGCTTGTAGGTCATTGCATTTTGACAACACCCAGCAGGCCAAGAGAGTCGGCAATATCTCTGTAGAGACAGAGATCAAGACTGTACCTAGCAGATTGAATAACTATCCCAAGGAACTTTGGAGATCAGGAAGGAGCAATGACACCCACATAGACACAGACCACAGTGGCCTGGTGCAGGCCCATTAAATAACGAGGGATCGGGAAGCAGGTGGCGATGGGATTCCACCTAGAAGAGAGTAGAAGCCAAAACCAAGTCGTCATTCAGCACTAGGTCTGTACACCACATGGCCTAAATTGGTCAGTGGAAGAGAAATTGACCAAAGGCAAGTAGAATGACTCCCGGGGGACTGGTGAGAAGAGAAGCCACAGCAGTGGTGGGGAAGGGGTTGAGGCAGGGTCTCACAGAGGATGAACTGTGACCAGGCTCAACCCACAGGGCTCAACAGGAGAGAACAGAGCTGTCTTCTCACCATCACTGGATATCCATCTGCCTCACTGAGATATATACACGTGGCCATCATTATCATTTCTTAATGACCAAATTTTACTTTTATAAAATATTTCTTGAGTACCTGGGAACACACACTGTGGCTCCACTGGGCTTGGTTTTTCAGAATTTTACGTCACCCAGGAAACAATGCCTTTTAAAGAATGTATTGTAGCCCTGGCTGGTTTGACTCAGCGGTTAGAGCATGGCCTGCGGTCCAGAGAGACCCGGGTTTGGTTCCCGCTAAGGGCGCGTACCTCGGTTGCAGTTTGTCCCCGGCCCTGGATGGTCGTGCGGGTGGCAGCCACTCGATGTGTCCCTTTCACGTCAATGTGTCTCTCTCTCCCCCTCCCCCACTCTAACTGAACAAAAAATGGAAAAATATCCTCGGGCGAGGATAACAAAAAATTTTAAAAAAGAATATATTGTAAAGGTAAAATCCACCGTGGTTATATCTTTCCTTTCTCCTGTGGAAACTCCTATTTCTCTGTTTCCAGTGTCCCACTCTCCCAAAAGAAAAAAGGATTTGAGTGAATTTTACACCTTGAACTTGATGAGTTATAGCCATATCCAGACAACCTTATTCAACAAAGAAGCTAGGACTGCTTATAAGGACAAGAGAAAAGAATAAAATGGGGTCCCAATTAATTCGAGGAAACCAATCACTTTAGCAATTGATACTGTATTAAGTGATCACATAACTGTGGCAGACAACACGGAGGTGGTGACTTGAAGTAAAACACTAATCTTTTTTCTGTACTTTTTTTTTTTTTTTATTCTCACTCGAGGACATTTTTCCATTTTTTGTTCAGATAGAGCGGGAGGGAGAGAGAGGGAGAGAGAGAGAAACATCGATGTGAAGGGACACATCAAGTGGCTGCCACCCGCACGACCAACCAGGGCCGGGGACAAACTGCAACCGAAGTACGTGCCCTTAGCGGGAACCGAACCCGGTCTCTCTGTACCACAGGCCGACGCTCCAACCGCTGAGCCAAACCGGCCAGGGCAAACACCAATCTTTTTTAAAGCAATTTGGCAGCTCTGAGCTTGCCACAGAATTAGAAGAAGAAATAGAAGCTCTCCTTTTGGAGAGCTGACCTGCAGCTAAAAAACAATGGTCAGTTCTTTCTTTGCTGTTCCTGTTTCAATTTAACATGAAATGATAATTTCTTCTTCTTTGTGGGTGGGAAGAACAGACAGAGAGGAACAGAGTAAGGGTCCCTCAACCCTAAGGGACAGTAACCTCAGTCCATGGTAGTTCCATGCCATGGTTTCCCTTTTAAGAATGTATCTTTTATTTTCCACCATCACAAATGATAGAGAGAAAGAGTGCTTGGTGAACAGTAAATAGTTAACAAATGGAGCTCATAGATCATTCCCACTGGGGAAGGCATGAGTAGAATTGCCATTGATGATGAACAGGTGAAAAGCAGACATTGTGATATGTGAGTTTTCTGTAGAGATAAAGAAATCAGAAAAAGATCAAAAGGGTCTTCAACTACATGGAGTCATTTCTATTAAAAAATTCTCCTCGCCCTGGCCAGTATGGCTCAGCGGTTAGAGCATCAGCCTGAGGTCCAGAAAGACTTGGGTTCAGTTCCTGCTAGGGGCACGTACCTCGGTTGCAGTTTGTCCTCGGCCCTGGTTGGGTCATGCGGGTGGCAGCCACTCGATGTGTCCCTTTCACATCGATGTTTCTCTCTCTTTCTCTCTCCCTCCCACTCTATCTGAACAAAATATCGAAAAATGTCCTCGGGTGAGGATAAAGAAAAAAAGAAAAAGAAAAAAAAATTCTCCTGAGCCTGGCCGGTGTTGCTCAGTGGTTGGAGTGTCAGCCCACGGACTGAAGGATTTCATGTTCAATTTCCGGTCAAGGACACATGCCTGGGTTGCAGGTTTGATCCCCGGCCCCAGTCGGGGTCAGGCTGTGCGAGAGGCAACCAATCGATGTGTCTCTCTCACATTGATGTTTCTCTCTTTCCTCTCTCCCTTCCACTCGATCTAAAAAATCAATGGAAAAATATCCTTGGGTGAGAATTAACCCAAAAAATAAAAATATACCTTGCACTTGTTTTGAAGCAAAATTTGTTATTTCTTTAATTTAAAAAAAATTATGACATCCAAACAGTCTAATGTAAAATATATTACGAGATAGTTTTATAAATGTCCAGTAACTTTGTTGGAACCACCTAGCCATGCTGCAGCCCTGTTTCCACTACAACGCCAACCGTGCGCTTAGTGAATGAGGGGTCAGGGGCCAAGCAGGGATCCTGGGGAAATGGAGTAAGCCACCCAATGAAACAGCGAGCTCACAGGAGAGCACAACAGGTGGGATGGCAACAGGTGGGAAAGGGCCAGGGGCAGGAAGATTGAAAAAGGGAAGAGGCTCATCTTAGTAAACTGCTCCTTTTCTGAACAAAGAAGGCTAAAAAAAGAAAAACCAGAATTGCTAAAGCAGAACAAAATAGCTACTAAAACACTAACCAAAGGGCTCTAGAAAGGGAACAGAAAACCTGCCGCCTGCTGGTCCCCCGTCTCTGCCGCAGGCACACTCAGCACCTCCCCGGCCAGGATGGGCCTCTGTGGCAAGTGGATCCTGCATTTCTCTCGCAACAAGCCGGAGCCCAAGGATTTTACACGCGCATATACAATCAGCGCGCGTCACCGGAGCCCAGCCTCCCCCAGGCTCTCCCTGGACACTCAGGAATTTCTCTGTGGCTATCAGAGGAAGCCAGGGTCTCACAGACGTCAAGGGAAGGACCGAAAGGAAAGGGAGAAAGCCGCCAGGCCATCGGCCGCCTCTCCGTGGGAGCACTCTGCTGTCTGGAACCCTAGCGGGTGGTCCTCCTGAAACTTGCATGTGCTGCCGGGAGTCACTTCGGGGATTTGGTTCAAATGCAGATGCTGGTTCAGAAGGGCCGGGACGAACCTGAAATTCTGCATTCCGATGTCTCCCAGTGATGCCGGCGGTGCTGGTCCCCAGGCAGCACTGGGAGAAGCCAGTGTTGGAGCATTCTGGTGAACCCTGGGCGAGGCAGGGCGGGGCGAGAGGGGAGGCGAGGAGAGAGGGAGGGAGGGAGAGAGGGAGGGAGGGAGAGAGGGAGGGAGGGAGAGAGGGAGGGAGGGAGAGAGGGAGGGAGGGAGAGAGGGAGAGGGCCTGGGACCAGAAGCACCATGTCTCCTGCGAATACATATAGGGAGAAGGCAGAAAGCAACGTGTTCTTTCTGCATGTATCACTGGACTCTGTCCAGCACCCAAGGATGCAGGGTTACTGCAGTTTCCCTTTAGGACTTTCAGGCAGATGGAATTCCCTACCCACGGATCTGGACACCAAGCACTACCAGCTGTCAGCCCAGTGCGGGGAGTGGCGGGGACTTCTAACACGCCCCAGGGGTTGGCACCAGGCTGGCCCCGTCCCACTTTTCCTCCTTCTTGTCACCTTATCCTTCTTCCACGGACGAAACAACTGTGTCTGAACCACGCCAATCTGAACATCCAGCGTATGTTGTACACTTGAAAAATGGAAGCAGAAATATTGAGAAAGTGCTAAAAACCAGACTTCGGGATCAGACTTAGTGATCTGACTCTGATTTGTTTACCCACGCTGATGATGTTCCTGAAATAGAAGCTTCATCGGTGTTCTGTGTGTTCATGTGTGAGGCAGAAGGTGGGGTGAATGAGTGCATGCAACCCCCCTCCCCCACCCCCAGCTCCCCACACACAAACCAGAGGCTAGTAGCACCAGGGAGACACCGTGGTCTGGTCCCGCAAGAGGAGCTCGAATTAATTGTGCAGTCCCGGTTGGAGTGCTGTCATCTTGATTTCCTGTGATAGAAACTGCAGGTTGCCTGGCGCAGTGTGGGTGTCCTGAGAGGTAGCTCGCTAAGTTTGCATGCTTCCTGGCTGACAGCGCCTCCCGCCAGGGCCTGGGGCCAGGGTGGTGAGTGTCAGTGGGAGGAGTAACCAAGTTTCACTTCCTGGAGACTCACAGCTGGCTTCTCTCAAAGGGCAGAGTGTGAGCAGCAGCCGAGCTCATTTCTCTGCCTGTTCCCTGGTAGCACCTGGCAGGGGCTTCGCAGACGTGAGGAGCTCGAATGGGCAGAGCAGAGTCTGTAGGAGGGAAGATGAACGCTCAGGATCCTTCCGATCTGTGGAGCACATCTGATGGAGAAGCCGAGCTGCTCCAGGACCTGGGGTAAGAGAGCAGATCTGCTTTTCTACTTCTTGGTAGGATATTAATTCCTGCTCCCACCGGAATGTTCACTTTGAATATTGATTATCTTTAGCACCCTTGCCCCCCCCCCCCTTTATGCCTTCTACCCTACTCACTGTGTCTGTTAGGTGTCTTCCTGCTTGGGGCCAATTGCATTGGAAAAGCACATATTGTTTTTCCAGATGTGAAAGCAGGGAGCTGGAGAAAATGGGACAAAGTTCAAATGCTGGACATTCTTCGAGATTAGGGACAGAATGGGGATGTGAGAGTTGGTGTTGCTTGGTTTCCTTGGTATTGGTCAGGCTTATGAATATTTGTGCCATGAAGATTTTTTGAGCTCTAAGCTGTGGCTGGTAAGATAAACAGAAAGTTTACCCTGCTGCATGGGAGAGGGACTTTTTCAAGACAGAAGGAGGAAGTGTCTGCAGCAATGTCCATGTGCCTTTCTCCGGAGGCTGTGTGTGTGAGCTCTTCTCTACACACGTCTGCAGGGGCGACTCTGAGCCACTCAGAGAGAGAGTGTCTGCCTCAAATAGGTAATGAGTTTGAATAGGTGGAGTCATCAGAGTCCCATCTTTAAGAGGGGACCAGATGAGACAACTCATCGGGATATTTAATCAGAGAAACAAATATTACACAAGAGAGGAACAGGGGATTTCCTAGAGACTCTGACCCCTAACCCTAAAGTACTGGGAACAGCCTGGTGAGGCTGGTTTCAGCACCTGTGCATTATGAGAGGCGAGACCTGCACCTTAACATCTTAATAAGCAGCTCAAGTCTTCGCAACAACCAGACGACATAGGAACTGTTATCATCTCCACCTTACAAAAGGGTTGAATAATTTGCCTTTGTCACACAACAATTAGATGGCAAAGCTGGGATTCCAACCTGCCAAAGTCAATGTTCTTAACCAGAGAAGTACTGAAACAGATGGGGTATCTGCATTAAGACGGCAGAGACTGTGTCTTTTGTGTTGTACTGTTGTGAAAGTTCTCAGTAAGTCCTGTCTTTAGATTTTAAATTTGAGGTCTCAGAACTGAACTCTACTTTCAGAAGGTAAATCAGATACAATGGCTAGAATTTTCTGTAAAGTAATCTCCTCTTCTTGGGAATTCAGAGTTCTGGGATATCGCTATCCTTCTAGATTTCCCTGAAGGACAAAAGGTAAAATGCCCCTGAGCATCCAAAACAGGTCTCACAAGTCCAGGCACTAAAGCTGGACACATGGGCTCTCACTCAGAGCTCTATTAAATTATTAAACTATACTTCTTTAGTAAATGCTTCTTGATCTATATATTCCCAGTCTACAATCAGTGATAAGCCCCTAAAGAGCTGCAAAGGAGATATTCAACTCTGGTCCTTTAATTCATAGTCTCTGCGCCTAGACTGTGTTAGATGACAAGGTGACCTAGATGATGTCCCTTCTCCCAGCATAATGCCCATGGCAGAAAGCAACTGCAGGTGGAACCCACAAGGAAACTCTGTCTTCCCTCCATGTGCAAAGAATAGACATTCAATACAACCCGGGAAAAACCCAAGGATGTGCATTTATGTCCAGACTTCTCTATTTCAGAAGGCCTAGAAATGTATTAAGCACTTGAGGATGGTTTCCATAACAATAGGTGAGCTACAATTTGTAAGAACGTGGTGGAATGAGGCTGTGCAGGGTCCCCAGAAGTTCGGGTTTATTGGGAATCAGCCTGCCGGACCACCTCTAAGGAGAGAGTAGCAACCGGTTTGTACAGTGGGGATTTCTAAACTCGGGCTGGGGGGGTGGTCGTTCAGCGGAGGAGACGTGGTTGGTCAGGCCTGGGGTCTCCCAAGTTCTTAATTGGTGGGGGGTGAGGTCTCCTGAAATTTGTTTTTCTTGCCGAGCGACTATTTACAGTTTGGGGTGGGTTAGGGTGGTTCCATCATTCCTTCCTCCTGACTGGAGGGATGGGTTTTAGTTTTCTGGAATGAGAGGTTTAGGGCAAGGTTAAATGATAAGAGTGATAAGTTTTGGATTCTTGGAATGAGAGGCTTAGGGCAAGGTTAAATGATAAGAGTGATAAGTTTTGGATTCTTGGAATGAGAGGCTTAGGGCAAGGTTAAATGATAAGAGTGATAAGTTTTGGATTCTTGGAATGAGAGGGTTAGGGCAATAATATGGAAGTTAAGAGCTAACACAATTATCTGGGGAAATTGCTCCATAATTGTGGTTCTCAACCTTGGCCATGCACTGGAATCACCCAAGAAGTTTTTTAAAACTTCTGCTCAGGCCACAGACAACACGAATGACATCAGTATCTTGGGAGTGAGCGTTTTCTTATTAAACTTTCCAAGTGATTCCAGAGTGAGATCAAGGTTGAGAATCACTGCATAGAATATAAATTCATCAGAAATGCTGAATAAATGTGGCTTTATTTTTCTTTTATTGGGTATGTACCTGAATCTTAAAGCCATTAATACATGTTGACATTTTGTTTGTTGATTTGAGAGCATTTTGTTGAACAATTTTATTGAGATATGTTTTAGAGATCATAAAACTCACTCATTTCAAGTGTATACAACTCAATAATTTTTAATGACTTTAAAGAGTGGTGCAACCATGAGCATAAATCAATTTTAGGGCATTTTCATTACCCTGATAAGAACTCTGAAGAGCATGGGTCATTTAAATATACACAGTGATGTGCTGACAAACCACATAGACGGGGGGAGCCCTGATTTTCCAGAGTCTGCCTATTTCTCTGGTGTAAATACTCCTACCTTGGACAATATCAAGCTGCCAAGAATTTATCAACCAGCTTGCAAAATTGCTGAAAATTTACTAATTGACTTGAGCTGTACTTGCCCCTCCAGGACATCACTGATACGCCTCTTATAGGTAATAATATCTGAGAAAACTTGAAAATGGTTTGTTGCCTCTGGCAGAATTCTGAATGTAAATAAATCCCTCTCCCCAACCATTAAGTCACTGGTTTTGTATAATCTATACCAAAACTTAAGGTTAATTTAGACTTTTTAAAGCTCCATAAAAACAAAAATGATTTAATGTACTTGATAGATAAAAATAACTGGTCTTAATGACTTAATTTTAAAGTTATTTTTAACAGGTTGTTTGATTAGGTAGGTAGATTTTTACATTTGTATTTTTGATAGATATAGAGAGATAACTTGATGATTAAATTAAAGAGATAGCATATGTCTTTGTTCCTTGGCCCCTATTTTTCTTCAGGCTCTGGAATATGTAAGCTCTGTAAATTCAATCCTGCCCTGAGCCAAATCCATCACCTGCCTGTCTAGGATACACATGACTTGCTCAGAGCACAGTCTTAGTCCTTCTAAAGTACTTATGTCAAGTAACTCAGACAGATTTCTGTGTCTCATTTATAGAGTGTCAGTCAAACAACATTTATTTTCATTCATCCTAAATGTGTCCAACAGCAAGAAAAAATAAAACCATCTGCAAATGTCACTCAGCTTCACCGATACCTTGGCGATATGGGGTGGGGGAGGAGTGGGTGGTGGTGGAGGAAGGGATCAGGGGTGGAGAATGGCCCATGAGAAGCGAGGGGTGAGCTGGGAACAGTCAGGCTGTGTGTTGCTCTCAAAAGGAAGTAATGGGGAGATGAAACAAGTAATGAATATTAGAGACATCACCTAAGTAACAAACCAGTAGAGAATTGCTAATCAGTTAATAATTTAAAATTCTAGAAATCCTTGGACTATAACAAAGTTTCCTACGAGCTAATGTAGAAACAAAATAGTTTTATCATTTAGTAAGCGGTAACTACAGACACAAAAGATACTGAGAAATGCAAATAATTTAGGATATTTTTAAATTATATATTCAGAAGACCTAGTCAGACATATTCCCTCAGGGGAGAAATATAATAACTATCTCCTTTTCTCTACTTTCCCAAATCTTTATTTTTTTTTTTTTTATCCTCACCCGAGGACATTTTTCCATTTTTTGTTCAGGTATAGTGGGAGGGAGAGAGAGAGAAACATCGATGTGAAAGGGACACATCGAGTGGCTGCCGCCCGCATGACCAACCAGGGCCGGGGACAAACTGCAACCGAGGTACATGCTCTTAGTGGGAACCGAACCCGGGTCTCTGGACCGCAGGCCAATGCTCTAACCGCTGAGCCAAATTGGCCAGAACTACTTTCCCAAATCTTATATGAAAGGGTCAGTGTCTGGCTGTGTTGGCCAGTGTCAAGAAACTAGACTCTAAATTCTGTATACTTAAGAAATCAAAATGTCTCTCATTTCTCTGCCTCTTAACCTTCACATATAAGAGAAAGTTAGAATAGGTCAAGGGTCAGCAAACGTTTTTTGGGTGAGGAGCCAGGTAACAAATATTTGGGGCTTTGCAGGCCCTGCGATCTCTGCCCAAACTTCTTCCATCTGCCCCTGTGGTGGGAGAACAGACCACAGAAACTGTCATGGTAGCGCTCACACAAATTGTTATTTTTGAACACTGAAATTTGAATTTTATACAATTTTCACGAGTCACAAAATATTCTTTCCCCCCTCCTCTCAACCATTTAAAAACATAAAGATAATGGCTTTCAGTTCATCCAGAGATATGTGCTCTAGCAGGAACTGGCCCTCAGGCGATGTTCTGCTCACCCAAGGAGTAACTGATAATAACCCAAGTGAGTTCTTATGACAAAGCAGACATTTTGCACACACTAGCTCTGGCCTTTAGTAGGTCCTGCAATTCCAACTTGACTTGTGAAGAGACTCATTGGCAGAGAATTCAGGCTGCCTAACATCCAGTGGATCCGGGTCCAAGCCCATGTGTATTCTCCCAAACCAGGGTGCTCTCTGGCTGCCATAGTCATTCTATACTGGCCCCCTACTCTGCACTGCACCATGCCATTCACATCCGTGACGTCATTTAGTCTTCACAGTAACACGTTCAATAGGTATGATTATACTCATTTCATAGATGTGGAGGGTGACTTCAAATAAATTCAATGAACTGACCAGGTCACCGACTTCCTAATTGGTTCAACTGAGTGACATGCCTAGGAGATTACCCCAAAGCTGATCCTCTTTCCACTGATCCAAGAAGGTATATGTTCTAATCATGGCAATTAGTAATTACGGGAGGCTCACTAGGTGCCAGGCACTATTTTAAGCCCTTTGCATGTATGACTGATTACATCCACACATCGCTGTAGATAGATAGTATTACTGACATCATTCCCGTTTACAAATGAGAAAAGTGAAGGACAGAGCTGTGATCACATGCCCAGGTTTACATGCTCAAAACCAACAAATCCCGTTTTGCTCCAGAGTCCATGTGCCTGTTCACTAATGCAACTCCCAAATTCCCCTCACACTTCTTTCTTCTTATACTAGCACTGTATGTTAGTGCTAGCATGAACTGAGACAAATACAAAAGTTCTGTGGTTACTACAGCCAATCGATTTTATTACGAAAAACAACACTAACTATTCTTTCACATTATTCACATAGTACACATACATGCACATGACACAGTCAGGTTAATATCCTAATTAATAAAAAGTTTTTGAATTTTGTGTAGATTTCACTTTTGGGGCCGAGCTAGACAAATGGACAAGGCTAAGAAAAGTATAGAAAAGTCAGCTTTGAAGGAATGTGTTTACAGATCTCTGATACTAAGTAGAGCAATGATGCTTGTTCCTCTTCTGAGTCTATAATCTGCAATTCTGTAATCTTGGAGTCTAAAAACGGAAGGTGAGTCTCTTACCGTGGCAGGAGAAAATGTAACTAGTGTAGTTTACTCTCTCAGTGACTCAAGCAAATTTCCTCTTCAGTTGTTGTGTTTTCTGTTCCTCTGTGGGTGATGGTGACTTCCTTCTGCTTACATATGGAAATCTGTCCTCACAGGTTCTCCACACTAAGGGGTCACTCAGTTTCATTCATTTACTTTTCCATTCATCCATAGATCCCTCTGTTTGTTGTCGATGACATTAGGTGCCATGCAGGTGGGGAATGCTGAAATTAAGATAGAATGGCCGCCCCCTCGAGGAGTTCGCAGCCCAGAGGACAGAATGCAGCTGCGTGTGCAGCTAGTGCTGGGTAGTGCGGGCTGGGGACACAGCGTCGAGAAAGCATACCTCATATGGCAGGAACTGGACGCGGAGGAGGTGGCCTTGGGATCGATAGGATTTTTGTCAGTTGAAGTCAGAAAACAATGAAATAGAGAGTAGATAACTAATAAAATAAGGACCTGTCTGGAATCTTTTTACATCTCGCAAAGCTTGGGACTCTTCCCTCTAGCCATAGCTTCCCGAAAGTGGCCCACTCTGTCGCCTGTACCAGCCCAAAGTTGTCAATGATAATGCCGTCTAAAGATAATTACCCTGCAGCCGCCTTTTACGAGGTACTGCAGGCTGCAAGGATAACCAGAGGAGGTACAGAATCCAGCCTGGTCCTACTCAGAGATGAGCCCTCCTGAGAGAAACGTCTGATGTTTGATTTCTGTGCAGCCATTCTAGTGCTCCCCAAGTCCTTCTGCACAAAATATTTCTTCTGGTCAGTCATTGAGCTTTGGGTCCCAGCCCAGATCACACACTCCCTGGCCCCAATCACTGGGGGAGCAGTGATGTTCTCTTGGTCTTGCACCTTGACCTGGGGGCAGGACAGATGGACGTCTGCGGGAATGAGATACAGTTTGCCACCCCTCCCTCCAGTCTCTCCACGTCTGACAACCCTGGGTGTGCTGGCCCACCTGAGTCAGGCTCTCTACATGCCTATGTCCTCTGTCTTTGGCTCTGCCTCTGTCCTTTGAACCACTCTGTTTGGGTTGTATCTGTGTTCCCAAATCACTGTCCTGTGTGTTTCTGTCTGTCTCGGTGAGCTGGTGTGCCTTTTTGTCTCCAGGTTTTGGTCTCTATCTCTCTGTCTCGGTCTACAGCTCTTAACTTTTGTGTCTCTGACTCTGTGCTACTCTGCATCTCTGAGTCTCTGGCTGTCAACCTCTGTGATTCCATCTTTCAGAACACCCTGCCGCATTCCTCAGACTCCTTCAAGAACAGGTTTATCCTGGTCTCCAACTCCCTCAGAATTCTCTTCTTCCAGTCCTGTTTACCTTTCGTTGAGCCTTGACTCCCACCAAAAGCAAAAGAAACAAAAACAAAAACGCCCTGCGGCCAGCCTTTAACTCACTGTTTGACCAGCACTCACATTTTCTGCCTCTGTGGTCACTCAGGTTTGCCTCGAGAAGCCTGGGGCAGCTGGCCTCACCTTTAGCTCTACTAGCTCATGCAGATTTAGAATGGCCACATGGAAAGCCACAGGCAGGCAGGTTTCATCACAGGACCTTACTGGAAGGCTGGCGAGTCTTTCAGCCTTTCCTATGGTCACACCGTGCCCGTCTGAGGCCTCGTTAGAACTTTCAGAATCCTGCGCAGAGCCTTTGCTTGGTTCTCTGTACCTGGCCAGGGCCTGTCACTGTGATCCATGGAAAGAGAAGGCCACATTGTGACCATGGGAGTTAATGTTCATACATGACCACACCATCTTGTCTTAGATTTGTCACAGCCTGACTGTAATGCAAGTTACAGCACAGAGAGCTCTTGAACCAAATGAGATATTTACTTATCCTAAACCATGATTTCTGAGGGTATAGGGGGCCAAATGCTTTATTTTTCACCAAACTGAAGAACCTGGAACCAACCCAATGAACAACTGAACATGCAGATAATCAGCAACTAAGCAATCCCACGGAAACTCAAATGTTAAGGACAGACCAACCCAAGCTCAGACTGCTTGCAGTGGGATTGCCTAACTGATCTATTTGATGGTCAAGCTCCACTCTGTTCAGAAAGACTCCGAGGCCAAGTGTAGGCTTAGCAAGAACAAAGGTCGGTGAGCATCATCTATGGCCTTAGGAGCAGGAGCAGCCTCACGCTCTGCATTTGCCACCTTTGGTCTAGCGGGTTCAGAAAGTGTGTCGGTGTCGTTCAAAAGTGAGAATAATTTTGAAAATGAAGAAAAAAGTGAAAATTCTCTGCGGAGGAGTGATTTTGTTGGCTGTTCAACTCCAGGACCTTTTAACGGCTTTCACATAGCCAGGGGTTGAATCCATTGCTTTGGGTTGAAATGTATGTCCTTACATTTCAAAATGTATGTCTCATTACAATTCGAACGGGATAGAATCTAGGTTCTATGTTACTTCTCTTTGCCAGGAAGGAGAAACATATGTCATTAAATATATGAATAATGTGTAGACAGGGGTTACTAAGAAATTTTCTCACGAACAAATATGTAATCTAAGTGGATGCAGGCTCATGTTTTAACGTAAAAGATCACGTTCGGTGCCCACTGTTCTTCTAGCTTCATTTTGTATTGCTCAGCATAGACCCTCCGTTCTGCCTAGCTCCAGCTGAGGGTCTTCCTCCTCCGAGAAGCTTTCCCTGATCATCCCAGCCTCCTGCGAAGTCTCCTTCTGTACCATTTACTGTCCATTTCACTATTTAGGGATTTTCTGACATCACTGCCTGCAAATCCTTCTCTTCTCCTCCCCATTGGTACTGTAAAGCCACTTAGTATTTGCTTTGCCCCCTTGGTCCCCTTCAGATGCCACACACTGTGAAGTCACACCATCCAGGTTATTGAAATGAATTCCAGTGTTGAGTACCAAGAGTTTTTCACCTCTGATTCTCAAGGTCTACACTGCATATCAATCACATGAGACTGTTGATAAACATAGATTAAAACCCAGCAGGTGTAGGGGGCCTGAGAATGTGAGTTTCTAACAAGACCTCCGGGCACTGAGGAGCAAGGCTGCCCATTGTTTGCAAACACCAGGTGCCACTCATCAGTGTTCTGAAAGTCAGTTTAGTGAGTCACAGTCAATATCTGTTCAAAAGAAATACAAGAGAAAAGAGTAGTAAATGGCATATAGAATAGTGTTGTTTCCTATGACATTTTTGGCTTTTTTGTGTATGTTTGTAATGTATATCTGTGTGTGTGTTTATATACATGGAGGGAGAAAGAAATACAAAATGTATTTTACACCAAAGGGCAATTCAAAAAGTTTAAAAGACGCTTCTTTCAAGGAGAGTGCAAAACGAGATATAAACGTCTATCAGCAAATTAAGACAGTAAAACCCAATGGGATAAGAATCTATGAGGGTTCCACCATGCTGGGCAATTCCCCAGAAGGTTCTAGCATGAAGGGGCACTGGAAAGAGACAAGAGGCTAAATTTGGGAACCAGTGTTCTGGATCTAGCTTGTCTTTTGTCTCTGCGGTTGGGCGTGTTTCCTGTACTTTGCTGAGAGGCAGCTATGAATATTCTTTAGCGAGTGGGTGTTTTCCTAATTTGTTACTGTATCACGGAATGGATACTACCACTGTTTCCTTAAGGTCAGCTGCTGCTTTTGGTAATTTCAAAAACCCAATACAAATATTCTTTTGAAGCTTGATGAGTCTCTGCTCTGCTGCCTCTGTTAGCCTTGAGACACAATAATGGCACCGTGTGGGCCGTGGGGGGAATAGAATATAACATTGCTTTGAGTGTATTGTTACAAATAGTAGCTCATACTCTTTTTTTCTTCAGGGTAAGTAAAACAAACAAAAAAATTTTTTTTTAAGTTTTAGAAAAATGAACCTTATTCCAAATTATTCCCAGCCCGTAGCACCATGCCTGGCATAGTCATAATATGTTGTATAATTAGCAAATCCTGTATCCTGTTCTTTTCTGCAAAAGTCAAAGAATGATATAAAATGTTTATAAAAGAAGACTGTGTTCCAATATATGAAAATAAGAGGGTTTTCTTACCAGGCAGTATTGTTAGTTGCCTTGACGGTGAGAGAAAACCGAGGTTGCTACGTGGGTGAGGTCACAGGCACTGGAGTGGATAGACTAGCTGAGGGAATGACTGGGCACCAAAGTGCCTCTCTGCTCTGCAGAATCCTCACTGACACCGCATGGACGCTCAGGATCGAAGGCGGCTGCTTACTGGCATTCATTTTCACTTGGCACTTCCCGGTAGTCAAGTGGTTTCTTCTTGCGCTTAATTCTAAAGACGTTGTGCTTCGGATCAGCTGGGGGAGGCTTGAAGAGGCAGCAGAGGAAAATGACTTGGGAGATTTAATCGACAGTAGGTTTAGTGTGAATCAGCAGCATGATGCAACTGTCAAGAAGCAGCGCAATCTTGGGTTTCCTTCAAGACGGCGAGAATAAGGGAGACCCGTGAGGCTTTGTTTTGCACGTCAGACCTCAGTGCCACGTTGATTATAAGAATTGGGAAAGTAGTCAAAGAAGATAAAGTTTCTGGATGATAAGGTCCTTGGGAGCTAAAGGAACTGAGCGATTATCAGAAAAGGAGAAGTTGAATGCCCTGCCCAGTTTGGCTCAGTGGTTAGAGCATTGGCCTGTGGCCGGAGAGACCCGGGTTCGGGTTCCCGCTAAGGGCACGTACCTCGGTTGCAGTTTGTCCCCAGCCCTGTTGTGTGGGTGGCAGCCACTCAATGTGTCCCTTTCAAGTCGATGTTTCTCTCTCTCTCTCTCTCTCTCCCTCCCTCTCCCCCACTCTATCTGAACAAAAAATGGAAACATGTCCTTGGGTGAGGATAAAAAGGAGAAGTTGAAGATGATGGAAAGAGAAGAGAATACTTTCTAAATGCCTCTATTTACGTTTTTTTTTTTTTTTTTTTTTTAAGTTTAACACCAAAAAGTAGCTCTGGGACCATCTGTTGAAAGCAGTTGCCTAGCAATTCAATGCAGGCAAGAGTTTCCTGCCTCAGTTAGGAAAGCATGGAGTGAGCTTACCTATAAAGGAGCGAGCTCCCTTCATTAGCAATATATGTAGGCAAAGACTGGATGAGGTCATGTTGGGGTTGAGATTTCATTCACACACTCTAAAAAAATTTAAAGAATTATAAAATAAAATAAGCTGATGGTTGCAATGGGAGATTATACATGACTTTTATTTATTAAGTTAAACATTCTTAATTGTTTAATTTTAAAAAATAAAAATAGCCTTGGCCAGTTTGGCTCAGTGGTGAGAGCGTTGACTCACAGACTGAAGGGTCGTGGGTTCGATTCCCGGTCAAGGGCACGTACCTGGGTTGCAGGTTGATCTCCAGCCCCTGTCGGGGCACATGTGGGAGGCAACCAACCCATGTGTCTCTCTCACATCAATGTTTCTCTCTCTCTCTCTGTTTCTCTCTCTCCTCCTCCCTCCCTCCCTTCCACTCTAAAAATCAATGGTAAGGATTAACAAAATAATAATAATAATAATAAAAATTAAAATCCTACATGGCTTTTATAATACTAGAGATGAGTTTACCATGAAGACATTGAAGTTTCAGCCCCAAGGGCCCTCTCTGGTATAGACCCTGGCAATATAGTTAATAAATGTCGTTGCCTCACCTGGTCGGTTTGGCTCAGTGGATTGAGTGTCATCCCATGGACTGAGAGATCCCGGTTCGATTTCTGGTCAGGGCACATGCCTGGATTGTGGGCTCGATTCCCAGTAGAAGATGTGCAGGCGGCGGCCGATTGATGTTTTTCTCTCACATCTATGTTTCTATTTCTTTCCCCTTTCCTCTCTCTCTAAAGAAGAAATTAAAAAAATATTTAAAAATAAATAAATAAATGTTGTTGCCTTGAAGTGTATTTAATACTATTCCCTGTACATGAACCTTTTAAATGCCCTGAAATCTTACAGCTTACATTTTAGAGAAATTTAAGGACCCCAAGTTTGCCAACAATCTTAAAAACTTTATTACCAATAAAGCTGAAAATAACTTTTCTACACTATCAATAATTTTAAAAAATTATTCTATGTGGGAGACTGAATTACTGTTCTATGCTCTCTCTAGAAAATTTTATTATAAAATTATTGTTATATGAAGAAATAATCAAAGATAATACAGCCAAAAATATGGAGGGGAAAAGGTATAAGGGTGTGTTAAACAACAGAAAAAGTTATTTTTTTGCCCTAGCCTGTTTGGCTCAGTGGTTGGAGCGTTGGCCTGCAGTCTGGAGAGACCCGGGTTCAGTTCCCGCGAAGGGCAAGTACCTCGGTTGCAGTTTGTCCCCGGCCCTGGTTGGGTCGTGTGGGTGGCAACCGTTAGATGTGTCCCTTTCACATGGATGTTTCTCTCTCTCCCCCTCCTACTCTATCTGAGCAAAATATCGAAAAATGTCCTCGGGTGAGGATTAAAAAAAAAGTTATTTGTCTCAGATTTGTGATATTCATCTGCTTTTTAAATTTGCAATGTTTTGTGTTTCTCATGCTATTTTCATATTATTTTTTGTAATTTTATATTAAATATCTTAATGAGATTTCCAAATTTTACAAACATCAAGTCCCTTAAAACCTGACTCTTACCCTGACTGGTGTGGCTCAGTTGATTGGAGCCTCATACGCCAAAAGGTGGTGGGTTCAATTCCCGTCAGGGCACATACCCAGGTTTCCAGAGGCAACATGTTTCCGTGACATCAATGTTTCTCTCTCTCTCTCTCTCTCTAAAAATCAATACCATAAAATAAAAATTTAAAAATCTGACCCTTCCCCCTAAAAAATCAGAATAATGAAATAAAAAAAAAAAAAAACTCATTTAAACACAGCTCCAATTACAGGAAATTTAAGTCATGCAACTGGGACTCTATGTACTGAGCTGTTGGATGTGCCTGTGAACCATACAAAGCCCTATAAATAAAGCCTGCATCACGGCAGCCAATGAGCCGTGGTCCCCAGTGCGGAGCACAGCAGCACAGTCCACTCCAGGCTTCATCTCTCTGCTGACTGCTGCCCCGCCACACTCACCCCGAATCCTCACACGCCGTGCCCTGCTCTGACCCTGTGCGCACCTGGCACAGTCTTGCTTCCCGGCCTTGGCTCTGGTTATATCCTCCCCCCCTCCCCCCCCTCCATCCAAGTGCTGGGTCAATTCCAACATTTAATAAACAGTAGTTGAATAAATTTCAAAAATTAAACAAATTATTAACAGGTTTATCTCTGGAGTTTGAATTAAGAAAGAAATGAATTCTTTTATTTTCAAATTGTAGTTACCCAAGAAATAGATTAATCTATTTTATTATTTTGTTTATTGATTTGAGAGAGAGAGATGAAGAGAGGGAGAGAGAGAAACATTGATTTGTTGTTCCACTTATTTGTACATTCATTGGTTGATTCCTTTATGAGACTTGACTGGGAATCGAACTCAAAACCTTGGCATATGAGGATGACGCTCTAATCAACTGAACTACCCAGTTGAGGCCATTTTATTATTTTGATTTTTATTAGAACAAGCTAAATTAGGGAAATTTGATTAAACTAAAGTCTTTTTTAAATAACACCCTAAATCCTGGTTCCTTCCATTAAGGAAACCATACTTATGTATTGGGTGTGTACTTTATTTTATGTGTTTGCATATCTTCATCTGTCAATATATATATGTTGTATAGTTTTGGGAGAGAAGGAGCGATTTTATACAACTAAGTGATCTCATTCTGTACCTGGTACTAATTCCTGTAACTTAACAATATGTTTTGGGATCCATCAACTATTTTATTTTTTTATCCTCACCCAAGGACATTTTTGGGAGGGAGAGAGTGGGGAAGAGAGAGAAACATAAATGAGAGAGACACCTCGGCTGGTTGCCACCCACATGGCCCCAACTGAGGCTGGGGACAAACTGCAACCGAGGTATGTGCCCTTAGCAGGAACTGAACCCAGGACTCTCTGGACCACGGGCTGATGCTCTAACCACTGAGGCAAACAGGCCAGGGCAGGATCTATCAACTTGTGAATTGTGTGTGTGTCTACAACACCCTCAGTGTCTCCCAGTAGGGGTGCACTCGGCACTCTGAGCAGGACAGTTCTTGGTTGTTCGTGGCTCCATCCCTCCGCAAGGTGTTGAGCATTCCTGGCACCCCACCTCCTCACCAAGTGCTGGTAGCACCAATCCCCAGCCCGCAGCATTTGACAATCAAAAATGCTCTCACACCTTTCAAACACTTCTGGTTCACTTTTTCACAATCTCATCTGATGACCACTCAACTTTGTCATCTCACTGTTACTGGATATTGAGAACAGCTCCAAATGTGTCCTCTCCCAAGCACGTCTGCAACAAGCACCTGTGTCCGTCTTTCCTTCTGCTTTTGTGTGAGCTTTCCACTCGGCAGACCCGTGAAGTGGAATCGCTGGTCACCCGTGCGTGCTGTTACACTAGATGCTCTGAATTTCCCTCCAACTTACACCCTCCCAACCGCACAATAATATCCGCCATCCCCAAATTCTCTAATAGTTAATGCTGTCTCACTCTTCAGTTTTAGCTAATCTAGTAAATAAAGAAATGGCACATTGTTGTTGTAACTTGAACTTCTCTGATCAGTACTGAGACTATTTATTTAAAACGCAACATTCCTCTTGTGTGAAAGACTTTCACTTTCTCTTCTGTATATGTTTATATTTTGATTTTTACTACAAATACTTTATAATCAGAAAAAATCATACACACTTTAGAAAAGAACTACGTGTCCTTCAAGGCCTACTTCGATGTTGGCTCATTTGGGTTGTGGTCTTGACTTTTCTTCCTGAAACCTCTGTGAGATGCTTCATCCTCGAGTACACAGTTGCAACATGTTTGTCTCCTGCTCCTGACTAGATTAGTGGTTTTCTAAAGCCCAGCTTACAGTTTTTCCATTTTTGTCCTTTTGACCTGCACAATTGCTTTGCTCAGATTTGAAACTTCATAAATAAAGACTTACAGAGCTGAATGACGGAAGGTAGAGAAGGTTCAATATGAGGAAATTACCAACTTCACTCTACTGTATTTTCAACCTTTGTTCTTCATGGACACAGATAGACATATTCCTACAAAATACGTGTAACGTTATTTGGCTTCATAGTCAATCCCCTGGAAGATATATATGCTCATCCTAAGTTTCTGGGAAAGAAATGCTGAACTCAATTAAAAGAGGAACTTTAGGCATTTATGGGAGAGCTGTTTGCGGAATGAAGATCCTCATTGCCCCATAGACATCACAAAGTGGGTGTAGGTGTCTGTCTGGCAGACTATCTTAGGTTTGTCCAGGTTCAGGGCTCCATAAAATCCAAGAGATGTCAAGATAGACTCAGCAAGCTGCCATCCAGAAATTACCATTCACAGAGATAGGCCAAATTGGAGCACAGTGTGCTTCTTCTGGCTTTATACTCAAGTGTTTTTTTAATGTATTTATGATATATAATTGTTACTTAAAAGATTACCCTAAAAAATTCTCAGCAAAAACTGCCATCAAACTGTGATCGCCAGAAGACAATTCTTCTGTAAGTGCTTTAAACACAGACTTCAGATCTCATTGAAAAGCACCCCAAGGAATGTCCAAGTCCTTTACATTTTAGAATTTTGTTGATCGAATTTTGTTGCTTCAAATATGTGATCTACTGGCTCAAACTAAATCTTATTCTGAAGTGTTCATCCAAAAATCAATTATTGGCAAAAGGTATTTAAGAACTTGCGGTCTTGTGGAGATTTCAGCTATCAAAAGAATTAGAGTTTGGGCTCACAACTGACCTGTAAAGTATGACTATTATTAATCCTATTTTAGAGGTGAGAAAACTGAGGCTCAGATTAGTTATGTAACGTATACAGCTAGTAAGACTTATCACTTGGATAGGGACCCAGGCAAACCAACTCGAGGCCACAATGCTATTCACCACCTAGACTGCCTCCATCAAGTCCTCAAGGGAATAAGAGCAAGGTGCAGAGACTGTGCCTAGAATGCTCTATTTTCATGAAATTGGGAGCAGGGACATATCTGAGTGCCTCTAGATCAACCATTTGCAACCTATTTCATCTCATAGCACACATACACTAATTACTGAAATTCTGCAGCACACCAAAAAATATAAAATATAATTTGCCTATCTGACAATTGATTGATTTTGAGTGATTATAAAAATAATAATAATAGTAGTAATTACTTACCCTTTTTGCTCCAAGTTATTTTCGGTGCTTAGCCTAGGACTCTCTGGTCCGCAGGCTGATGCTCCAACCGCTAAGCCAAACCAGCCAGGGCTTGCTCCAAGTTATTTTTTAAAACATCAGGTGCCTATACTTGTACATAAGGATTTCTGGTATTCCAAAAATTAACCAGTCAGATGCAACCTTATTATGCAATGTGACCAATAAAATGCAACTCTGTTATACGATTTATGTATTTATGATTTAAGACAGGGCATTCATTGTTGTTTTGGCTGTTGTCATTTTTTTATTTGATAATCTAAAGGAAAAGAGGTCAGTGTCTTGCATGTTTTAAAAATTCTGGTGGCATACTAGTTAAAAATCACTGATGCATAGGCTGTCTCTTAGGAGAAAACACAGGAAATGGTGAGCATTGGTGTCCCCTGGGTAAAGGAACAGAGGGAGTGAGGATCAAGGGTGAGAAAAAAGATTTATTTTCACTGTCTTCTTTTTTTTTTTCCCTTAATTAATTTTAGAGAGACCAGAAGTGAGAGGGAGAGAAAGATAGAAACATCGATGAGAGAGAACATTGATTGGCCGCCTCCTGCATGCCCCCTACTGGGGATCGGGCCCACGACCTGGGTGTGTGTCCTGACCCGGAATTGAACCAGCCACCTCTTGGTGCATGGGTTGATGCTCAACCACTGAGCCACACCAGCCAGACTTCACTGTCTTCTTTTGAAACGTATCTGGAATTTTTTTCTTGTACCATGGATATGTAATCTTTTCTAAAATAACCTTATTTTTTTTTAACCCATAGAGCAATTTGAATCTCCTTGGGACTTTCCCAGCTCTTCAAATGTTTGTCAGTTTGAAACAATATTTGATGAGGCTTGCATCTTGTCTAAAACATCTGAATTCCTTGTACTCCATTTCTCTCATGACGACGATTCCAGTGTAAAGCTCGGTGGTTTTCCACACTACAAAAGGCGGTGCAAGAGAGACTGTGGCAGAGAAAACAAATGGAAGAGAGAAAATTGGCCAAAGCCTATTCTTACGGTTATTTTTGACTTGGACTTTTTAAAAATTTCCTGTTTACCAAGTAATTTTGTATGTTTGTCTGCTAGAGCTACCATGACAAAGTACCACAAAGTGGGTGGCTTATGCAGAAGACATTTATTATCTCACACTTCTGGAGGATAGAAGCCCAAAGTCAAGGTGTCGATGGGTTGGCTCCTTCTGAGGGATCGGTTCCAGCCCTCCCTCCTTGACTCGTAGATGGTCATCTTCGCCTTCACATGGTACTTTCCCGATCTGCAAGTCTGTCTCCAAATATCCCCTTTTCACAAGAGGACATTAGTCATATTGATTAAGGCCCAGGCTAATGACCTCATAACTTGTTAAAGACCCTATCTCCAAATACAGTCACATTCTGAGGTTTCGGGGGTTAGGTCTTCAACATATGGGTTTTCAGAACACAATTCAACACATAACATTTCACTAGTAGCCAACTCTCTCTGCTTCCCCCTTTATACCCAGGGATTTCCTTCTCCTGATGATTTGGCTGAGAGCGTGGTCTCCTGGCTGCCTATGTGGGGAGTATTGCTGGGGTTATCCTTGAGAGGAAAAGCCAGTGAAGGAAGAGTCACCTGGTAGTCTGCCCTGAGTGAAAGCACTGTTCTCTCCTTCCTAGGTGGTACCACAGCAACCTCACGCGCCACGCGGCCGAGGCTCTCCTCCTCTCAAATGGATATGATGGCAGCTACCTCCTGAGGGACAGCAACGAAAGGACCGGGCTGTACTCTCTCTCCGTGAGGTAGGATGCTCAAAGCTCCATGAATTCAACATGGTCCCCTCTCTTACTTACATAGCCATCAACTTGACCATCACAATCAGATAGCCACATAACAAAATTCTCATGATTCCTGGTAGACCAGCAGACCACGCATTCTGTGCTCTGAGTGGTGAGAGTTAAAAACTATTCTTGCTCCTTCGTTGGCAGGTGAAAACTGTTATGGCTAAAAGAGACTTTGTGCATTGTTTAATCCAAACCTCCTGCTTGAGTGGTGAAGAAACTGGAACCTGAAGTGGTAAACTGTCTTACACCCAATAAACCAGCGATACAAACGGCACCTGAACCCAGGTCCCTGAATAGTGGCCCAGGGCCCTTTTAACACTCCTTACTTCCTCTGGAAAATCAGAGTGATCTGTGGCTGTGCAGCTTTTATCGTCACAAACTCAAGCAAGCAATAATGCCACTTTTACTTTTTTCTGTAAATGGACTGACCCTCTTCTTCAAGGTTCCATTTCCCCTGGATGTTAACGAAATTAATCTAGTCCCTACCAGGCATACCAAAAAAAGTGAATGCCCAGTCCTCCCACGTTCTCTCTCCTTACCCTTTCCTCCTGGATGGCCTCCCTATCAGAGAAGTTGACCTCACCAAGAGATAAGCAGGAGGAGTCAACGTCAGCCTCTGTCACCTTGCCTTCTGTAGCAGGTGTTGGTGGGTTCATGGGCAGTTGCCCCTGGCTAAGACTGGGCATGTGAGATCTCCATGAAGTTGCTTCAGCCATCTACCCATTAACCTCAGATTGTTACTATTGTATTACTGTTCTGAGGGCACCGCCATACATGTTTTCGTTGCAGTCCCTCACGTTGATCACTGATCCCTCATCACAAGGTTTTCTTTTTTCTTTCCTGCTCAACACGGTTGCGGCCTCCTTGTCACAAACTCAGTAGCAACATTTACACTTCTTTTTCTCCGAATCCTCTTTTCTATCCAACTCAGCAACATTTTTTTAAAATCTCCTCTCTCTCTGATAGGGGTAAAAAACTAACTATAGCCCAGCTGGTGTGGCTCACTGGTTGAGCATTGACCCATGCACCAAGAGGTCGCCAGTTCGATTCCTGGTCAGGACACATGCCCAGGCTGTGTGTCTGATCCCCAGTGGGCGCATGCAGGAGGAGGCCAGTCAATGTTCTCTCATCGGTGTTTCTGTCTCTCTCCCCCCTCCCTTCTTCTCTCTCTAAAATCAATAAAGAAAAAATAACTAACTATAAACATAATTCACCAAATAATTCATGGCAGGCTTTGATGAGCTCAAAAGCCAAGAATTAATGTATTTTCTTATCTCCTCTTTGGAGTTGGGCCTTCCGTATTTTCTATGCTACATTAACAAATTACCCCAAAACTTAGTGACTTAATACAACGTAAATTGATTAGCTCACAGTTTCTGTATGTCAGAAGTCCAGGCATGATGTGGCTAGATTCTCTGCTCAGGGTGACATAAAGGTGTTGGAGAAGGCTGAGGCTGACCTGGGCTTTGTGTTCTCTTCCTTCCTTCTCTCCTTCCCTCTTCCTTCACCTCCTTGCTGCTGGAGGACTGAGCTTCCCATTTTCCATATAGCTACGAGCCAGGGACCACTCTCAGCTTCCAGAGGCCGCCCACAGTTCCTTGCCAAGTGGCCCCCATACGCAGTTCACATGGATGTTTGCTCTTTCTTAGGCCGGCTAGACATTGTCTCTCTGACCTCCTCTTCTGTGACCAGCAGAAAAAGCTGTTTTTATCAAAACTCTCACATGATGAGGTCAGGTCCACCCATGCAATTTCCATATTTTAAGGTCAGCTGATTTGGGGCCTTAATTATCTGCAAAATGCCTTCACAGTAGCATTTACGTCAGCGTTGTGTGGAATAACTGGGGGAAAGTGGATGTGCTCCAGGGGCTGAGGACCTGGGATCCTTGGTGGAATGCTGCCTGCCGCACCTTCCATCCCCAGGGTCCCTGGACGCCTACAGGCTGCTGTAAGGGGACTGGGAGAAACAGTGGGAGGTGGTGGGGTAAGTAAGAGGGTCACAGAACAACAAAACTCATTAACATTTTTCATGCTACTATGCTGTATATTCTTTACAATTTTCCAAATAACATTTTTGGGATAATTATTATTTAAACATGGAATTCTGTTTAGGCGGGAGCAGGAATTGTGCTTTTCCTGATCAACAGCAAATGTTAAAAAAGTGTCAGGTGGTGATGCTGCAGATCCTTTATTGCGTAGATCTCCCCAAAATCTAAAAAAAAAAAATGTGGAATTATGGGCTCACCTATAATTGTCTCATCTGAACACATGGATCATAATAAGCTCCTTACAAATAGATGGCAACATATTACATTTATGCAAAATTTTAAATAAAATAACTAATTGCCATTACTAGCACTTGGAAATATGTACTTTAAAAAACAAACAAACCAAAAAACAAAAACACCAGCAGAGGTGACAGAAAGCATAGACCAGCACAGGGTATGTAATAATTTAAGAGCATCCACTCCGTGCCAAGCACTTTGACAAGTGTCACAGAAGATTCAAAGAACGTGCCCTTAGGAAGTGTACCTTCCAAAAAGACATTTCCAAATACCTCACTACAAAGTAGAGTTCAGTAAATGACGGGACAGAAAACAAAATGTGTGCTTGGATGGTTGAGAAGAGGAAAAACAAGTAAATCAAGCTGGACAAATCTTGTGATACTTGACAGTTGGTGATATTGGAACGGACGCTTGATCAGAAACAAAGGGGAAGAAGTTGCAGGTGAAAGGGACCATCTGAGCTAAGGGACAAAGTGGAAACTCCTGGGAGAATTGCAGGTTTGGCTGGACTGGAGCAGCAGTTCTCAAGGTGTGGTCCCCAGACCAGTAGCATCACCTGAGAATGTGGTAGGAATGCAAATGATCAGGCCCCACCCTGGACCTACTGAGTCAGGAATTTGGGGGGTAGGGCCCAGAAATTGGAGTTTTAACAAGGCCTCCAGGTGATTCTGATTTCGGATGCATGTGGAAGTCAGAGCGTGCCCTGCACAGAAAGGAGAGAAATAGTGGAATTCAAATAAAATATATATACTGTATATAACGTACAATTTATTTAATGCTCTGCCTCATTCCAAAAATGAGGTGGAAAATAACAATGTAGGGAATTGGATATTTTAGTCAGCAGGCCATAGAACAGGCTCGGGAGGGAAAGGGCTGGGCTTGTGCAACTAACTAAGTGACAGAAGCAGAATCAGACTGACTCCCAAACAAGCAAGAGAGGAGGGCCGAGGACAGAGGAGAATGTGGGGAACATGTGACCTGCCATTTCCATCATCTCTCTTCCCTGCCCTTTTAAACTCATGATCCTTAAGGATTTGTTCACGGACTCTCCATAAGCCATAGAATACACAGGGAGAATTGTCTCTCATCTTGCACTAGAGTGAAAAATTGATGAGAGCACACTATGCCCAAAGAAACTGTGCTTTAAAAAATGCCAATAGTACCCTGGCCAGTTTGGCTTAGCAGTTAGAGCATTGGCCCTCGGACCAAGGAGTCTCGGGTTCGATTCTGGTCAAGGGCACGTACCTCGGTTGCGGTTCTTCCCAGGTCCTGGTTGGGGTCCTGTGGGAGGCAACCAGTCAATGTGTCTCTTTCACATTGATGTTTCTCTCTCTCTCTCCTTCCACTCTACCTGAACCAAAAAAATGGAAAAAATATCCTCAAGTGAGGATTAAAAAAAAAAATGTCAATAGTTACAATGATTGTCATAATTCTCAGTTTTTAGGGGGTTTAATGGTGATATTAAGCTTACTATTTTCCTTCAAAAATGATATTCATTTGTTCAATTAATGTTAAACATTTTGTTTTCCCTTTCAGAGCCAAAGACTCTGTCAAGCACTTTCATGTTGAATATACTGGATATTCATTTAAATTTGGCTTCAATGAATTCTCATCTTTGAAGGATTTTGTCAAGCATTTTGCAAATCAGCCTTTGATTGGAAGTGAGACAGGTAAGCTCTGAACACAGACACTTGTCCTCTGAGACATTGTTTCAGGTTTCAGGGTGGAGGAGGGACAGGTGGATCTCAATGAAATACTAGTCACTTCTATTGAATTATGTGCATATGCCATGCAATTGGATATATTTAGAAACTTTTTCTCAGTACTGTGCCGTATGATACATTAATACATTCTATACATAAATTTATATATATTTCAGTATTATCTTTAGGAGAAAACAATGTTCTTTGTGCAAAGCAGATAATTTTTGTCAAAATGTTATTTAAAGGATTGATAAAAAGCACACAATTTCTTTAAAATCACCTATTCATTTTATAATAGTATATACAATAACAAAGAAAAGACAAAGATAAGTACAACTTTTTGATTCCTCATTATTTTTATGCATATTGGGGATATCCATAACAAATAATTTTGAGCATTCTTAAAACTAAAATTTATATTTAAATTTCCAGAAAGATCACTGAATATTGAAAATACAAACTAACAGTTGCTCTCCTGAGTAATTCCTTCATTTCATCATAAAATTCTGTTTTGTCTTGTCTTGGTTTCTCATAAGTTTTAAAATTGGATTTACGTATGGCTAAAACATTTTTAAATTTACCTGTTTGAGTTGATAAAGTCAAACCAGAATATTCAACCTAAAAAAATCAAACAAACACACTCTCTTGGTATTGGAATCATCAAAGTTTTTTTTGTCCATACTATTTAAATAAAATAAATGGGCATTTCTATATTTGTGATGTAAAGTCACAATTTTACAAGTCCTAAATGGTAATTCTCAGTTAAGCAAAAGTTAGGCAATTCCAAGAATCTGTGTCATAGAGGAACTCAAGACTTAATGACACAACTAGTTATCATGAATTCATACAGACTTTTCTTGGTAAACATGGCCAGGGGGCTTTTTGTTCATTTTAGTGTGATAGGAAGAGATGTCACCATTGGCTTTTCCTTTTCTGCTATTTCTGTGGTCCAGATAAACCCTGATATGAATCATTCAGTGTGGAATATAGATGAAAAGTACAGTAGAAACCACAAAATATTTGCCTTACCTTATACTGACCATACAAGGCCAGTAATAGAATATCCCAAACTACAAAGTTGAAGCTCTATTTTTTGTCTGTTGGAAATTCTCCCCATCAGCCCTGAAAATGACTTCACCATCTAGCCAGAAGTCATTCTCACAAACAATGGCAGGTGGGGATGTATTTATTCCTATTGCTACTTTAGCTTTGGCAAGCATTTCTATTTCTCAGATCCCTTCACTTCAGATTTATTTCCTATTCATGTCCAACCTGACACTCAGTTTTGTTCAGTTCTTGGTCACTGGCAATGGAGAGGACATTTCTAAAGTCAAAGACTGCGTTGTCTGCCTCTCTTTTTGTCCTTTATGTCCCCCAAGTCCCGGGCATGGCACTTTGGATGTATGTATGGGTGGATGGATGGATGATGGATGGATGGATGGATGAATGGATGGATGGATGGATGGATGGATGGATGGATGGATGGACAGATGGATGACTATGAAGAGGAATTCTTTGTAGGCTTCAAAGCCATAATTGTTATCTTCCAACCTTCTCTTCTTTCTCCAAGCAAAGTCAACCCCCTTCTTTTAAACTGTCCTCCTAGACTCTATTTTTCAATCCCTTTGAACTTTCTTTGAAAGGTACTCATTCTTCCTACCAACAGATTTCAAAACAGTTTAAGATTAAAGTGAATGCAGAGTTTTTGAGTTGAACCTTTCTGGCACTGATCCAATCACCAGGCAAGAGGATCACCTAAGACTGCTCCAAAGTAAAGGCTCCCTGACACTGAATTCAGGACAATATTAAACATCCCAGTAAATACATTAATTTAGCTAAAGGAGGTTTATGATTAATGCATTAGTGATTGTAAGGATTTGTAATCCTGACTCCTACGGTGGTTTTCTCCAAAGCTCAAGATTACTACTATAATTATTTTATTTACTTCTATAAAACTCAGGAAATTAAGTTTTAACCCTCTGCACTGCATATCCTCTGTTCTGATCATTATCCAATAGGGAATTTGCTGCTACTTGAACCCCTGCTATAGTACCCTGGTGCTGATGGATATGTACTTGACTTACTGGCTTCTAGCCCTTCAGTTAGATTCTACTAAGTCTATGAAATATCCTTCTTATCTGTCCCAGTCAGATGAAGGCAAAGTCACTAAGGCTGGGAACAAAGGGCACAAATCGTGACAAATAAGTGTTCCAATTTTGCCTTTTTGGGAGAAGTAGGTTTCAGGAAACTAGATAATATGCTGAAGTCGTGATGACTCAAGCCTAAAAGGTCCTCAAGCCACAGAGTCACCACTGTGACCGACGAAGAGTAGTAAATGGAAACTGAAATGCCACCTTCCCCAGATAGGTGTCTTCTCACTCATTTAAGAGTTAGCCCCGGCCTGTGTGGCTCAGTTGGTTGGAGCATTGTCCTGTACACCAAAGAGGTGGCAGGTTCGATTCCCAGTCAGGGCACATACCCAGGTTAGGGGTTCAATCCTGGGTCAGGGCACAGGTAACCAATCGATGTCTCTCTCTCTCTCTCACATTGATCTCTCTCTCTCTCTCTCTCTTTCTCCTTCCCTCTCTCTAAAAATCAATTTAAAAAAAGAACTGGCTTCTGAGGCATGGGAATGGATTTATGGGGGGCCCTTCTCGGTGGGCCTCTCATAGTGTACCATGCCAGAGTACACTGCAACCTCGAACCATAGCCCAGCCTCCTTGCCTGTGGGCTGTGAGCACTGAAGGGGGTTGTACAGTGTTTAAAATAAAAAGGAATTGTCTTCTGGTGTTGGCTCCCTGTGATCAGGGCATCAGGAGACCTCCAGACTGATGATTCTTTGTGCACCATTAGATGAAGTGCAAATTCTTCTTAAAGTTTCTGTTAGATAAAACACCAGGAGAAGCATTTGCCTGCGCAATGGATGAGGCCCTTCCAGGGTTCTCACCCCCAGATCCTCAGAATGGGAAGGTCTGGACTTGGGTATTTCAAGCCGCTTCTCCCAGCCCAGACCCCATTCAGACCAGCCTCCCCCTGCAAGGCCTGGAGAGTGTTTATGTAAGAGGGACTTTCTCACACTCATCCACTAATAGGGGTGGCACACCTCTGAGGGCCGCAGAGATCTTCAAAAAATCTTTACACGCCTTCACCTTACATTTAATCCAATGTCTTCCATAGAGTGAAACCCAGAACCCTTCGTTCTGGGTCATAAGAAAATATTTGTGCTCAGGATAGGTAAAAGTATTGCTTTAAAGGGATTGATACTATTTTAAGATATCTTTTCATTCTATTCCTATTCCCTATATTTTAAACTCTAAGAAATTCTGCTTCCTATTCTGAAGGATGAATATTTCCTAAACAAGATCTAATACCCTGACAACCTTAAGATTCTCTTGTCATAATTTCCCCTTTCCTTTGCTATAATTGACATTTAATCTCTCTCCTCTCCATTAACGTTTTTGCTCCCTCTAATTTTTCCTTATTAATACCCATAAACACTCTTAAGCTGTTTCCAATTTTCAAAACCCAATCATTTCCCAAGTATATCCTAGAGATATATAATGTACCCTCTGGCTTTACATTTCTCAATGGCCTTTTTACCTTCTAAAAGGTAAAATTTTTTACCTTGTATAATTCACTTAAAAAATCTTTGCACTAGTATATAAACTTGTTGAGAAGCGGGGTTTTCGCCAGTTTTGTTCCCTGGTGTGTCCCAACACAAAAGAATCAGTGCTCAGAAGAATGAAGACAGCACTTCGTGTTGGGTACCCCGTCGCCAACGCTGCACTGCAGCTGGCGCGGCAGCCCCGCAGCAGGAGACTCCTGACAACCGATGCTGACTCCAGCGCGCATACAGAGCGGCGTCTGCAATGATGTTCTGTGCTGGCTGCATGCTCAGCGGTGATGCAGTTCAGAACTCGCCTTTCATTTGTAATATTGAGCGGTTATCGAAAATGCCTCTTTATATTTGTACATGGTTTCTAAATTCAATTCAAGGAGACTTGAAAATTTTAGACTTTTTTATATATGTTTGGTCCGTTATTAATTTTACTGTTTCCTCTTGTAATTGGCCAAGTTTCCCATATAATCTTGAAAATATGGACAACAATTCTCTTTATGTTAAATTCTGAATAGTAGTAGAACAAAAATTACCTTTCCCATTACCTTTTGTTTCTATTGCAATTTATATATGTGTGTATATAACTGTCATATCTGATTTATCATGGGAGTTGCTACGTTGTGATTTTAATCACCTAACGGCATGAAAAATTATAGTCATCAAGTGCTTTGTTTGTGCCTACCCTTTATAGTAATTGGTTCTCGGTTTTGCAGATCCTATCTGGTTCTTTCTTAAATGTCAAATGTCCACTTCTCTTTTTGTTTTGGTGTGGGGATTCCCAACCTCTTAACAATTGCTATAGTTGTTATTATATTGTTTTGTGACACCAGCCATTTTACTCAGGTAGCATTTGAACATAATTAAGTTAAAACTATTTTAAATGGGAGAATTGTGTGACATTTCTGAGAATAATCTATGACAACTTGGAATTTTGCCAGACCATGACCAGGAGTCACTTCTTTCATTTGTTTGCCAAAAAATAAACATTTTCTTAGTTTGTAAGGAGGTGTACTTGAAAAAGGAAAAAGCAAGCCAAAAAGAGAATGAAACCAACATTTGTGGAGTGTTTACTAAGTTCTAGGCATTCTGTTCGATGTTCTGACAAATATCAAATTTCTGTAATCTTCTGAACCATGTACAATGATGGGTAAAGTGGTGCCATTTTAAAATGAGGAAATAAAAAACTCAGAGACTTTCAGTTATCTGCCCAAGGTTGCACAGCTAGCAAGCATCCGAGCTAGGCTGGAATCCAGACTAACTTTGTTCTAGGAGTAGGCGCTTTCCACTCACCTTGCTTCCTCCCAGAATTGCTGTCATGGTGACACGGTAGTATCGCGTCACCACAGCGCAGCATGGCCTTAGATGTACTTGGATGGGAAGAATCTCTGCCACAGTATGTAATAGGGTGTGTGTAGGATATGGCTGGGCTACAATGCATATTTCAGTCCTGTCCCTCTGTCTCTATAACAATATTGTCCTGAAGAATACAAGTCATTGTGAACGTCTGTCTTTGTATGCATTGCCATTTGAGAAATTATACTAGAGGAAATCTTAAAACATAAAAAGACTGACTAGAAAACACCTCCCAAATATTTTGGCCCCTCTCACTCATGTCTCTCCAGAAAAGATCCAAACAGCCTATGTAAATACAAGAAGGTAAAATAAAATTTAAAATTTGATGGAGGAAAAGAAAAATGGGACACAACGATAAAATGACACCAAGAAAAAACTATTTCAAAAGCATACTGTACGTCTGCGGGAAGCAGGACGTGCATTTAGTTACAAAGCGTTTAATATTTCTTGCCCCTCAGCTGCGCCTGTGTGTTTAACCAGGCTTACAGATGTTAGAATGGGAAGGGATCTCAGAGACCATGTAATTTCTTCTTTACAAATGAAGAAACTGAGCCCTGGAGAGAAATGTTGAGGCAAAAACTCACATCGCCTTTTCTGAAGCTGCCTCAAAGCATCCAGTGCTTTGAATTTCAATTTATGCATATGCTCTCTTCCCCACAATAGATAGAGTACAGCATTTCACATGCCATAGAGGGTTTTAGTGGTGGTTATCACACCAATTCTTAGCCCTGATAATACCATAATCATTATATATGGTGTAATGATTAAACACATGGACTCCCAGTTCAACTCCAGTCTCTGCCATTCACCACCGTGTGTCCTCGTGCACGTTGTGTACCCACTCTGAGCTTCAGTTTATCATGTTATGAAATGGAGTTGATGGTATAATAATTCATACCTTAAAAGGTCATGACTTGCTGTGAAGATTGAATGAGATTAGGCATGAAAGACATTTAGAATGATTTATAGCATTGCATAAATATTCAATGATTATTATTATTTATACCATTAAGTCCTTTTGTGGTCATTAATTCCATAATATTATACACAAGAGCTGTACATGCATCGGTATATCATGAAGAATTAGTTTAGGGACAGTTGAATTTGTATTTAACCAAGGTGTATGGTGTCTTCTTCAAATTTTAAGGCCCTTCATATGTAAACGAATGTGGTTGAACTAGCACCATTTTATGATGGGTTATAGTCCATTTGCAGGGCAAGTTGCAAGGAGACAAATCTTGACTATTCCCATAACATTTCCCCCTGCCCCCAGAAAGCCCCTTCCCATTGGCAGGAAGAGACAGAGGAGTCCATCATGGATAAGCCAGCTGCAAAGCTCGTTTTCTGAGCCTGAGGTCAATAATGAAACATGGATAGATGAGATCTTATTTTAAAATAATTCATCAAATAGATAGTGAGTGCCAACAATGAACTGGGCACTTGTTAGCCACTGACGATTTAGTGATGAATCAGAGAGCATCCTCACCCTCAAACTCTTCCAGTCCAGCTGGGGAATCTGACCAGTAAAGCACTAGATTTAGTGCATACAAGAACGATTCAAAACAAAAGCTTGCCTTTCGGGAGCGATGTGTGCTCTTGCACTACACTCTGTTTCAGACACCAAACCGGTGCCTGGGGCTTGAGCCTGTCCTTACTGGCCCGGCTGGAATACAGAACGACCTCTTCAATGCAGACTCACGGCTGCACAGACAGAAGACAGAGGAGGTGTGCTGCGGGTGACGGTTCAGGCAAAGCAAAATGAAATGCCTGCTCTGTCCTCCTCTGATCATCTCAAAAATGTACCTCCACCAAGCATTTCTGAAACCGAGTTTTAGTCAAAGGCAGGAAACAACAATCTCCTTCATGAAGTTCAGAAACTGAAGTGAAACTAGCTACCAGGTTTCCAAGACCTGTGGTTGCTGATCTTCCTCTCTCTTCTCCTTCTACCAGCCCTGCCTTTGGTTGCTTTTTATGTGAATCTTCCAACCAAGTCCTGGAGTTCATTTATGTTGAATATTATTAACCCAGGGTTCCTCTCCTATGGAGCCAAGGCACTGTCTTGAACCTTGGGTGGAGATGATAATGAGTCTGTAGTGGCTTAACTATATAAGTTTTTTTTTCTTTCTTTTTTATCCTGACCCGAGGATATTTTTACATTTATCTTCAGATGGAGTGAGAGGGAGAGAGGGAGGAAGCGAGAGAGAGAGAGGGAAACATCCATGTGAGAGAGACACATTGATTGGTTGCCACCTGCACAACCTCAACCGGGGCCGGGGACAAACCGCAACCGAGGTACGTGCCCTTGGCCGGAATCGAACCTGAGACTCTTTGGTCCACGAGCCGATGCTCTAACCGCTGAGCCAAACCAGCCAAGACTATATGTTTCTTTTGATTGAAAATCACAGAAGCCAACCGTGACAAGCTGAATTTAAAAAAAAAAAAAAAAGAGGACTACAAAGAGAGAAGTGGAATTTTTTAGAAGGATATTAGTATTCCCTCCAAGAATCCGAGGACAGGCTGAACAACAATAAGCAATCAGCCAGTGATCACGGCAACTCTGAAGCTTTCAGAAAATCAAAATGCCTTGGTCCTGCTCTGCTCACTACAAAAATGTACCTCCACTGAGTGTTTCTGAAACCGGGTTTCACGTCAAAGGCAGGAAACAGCAATTCCCTTCATGTCGTTCAGAAACTGAAGTCAGTGGACCTTCTCTCCAGAGAAGTAACTAAGCAGATCCCCAGGCAGTGAGTGCAGCCAGGTGAGGTGTTTAGGGGGAGGGCCAGCGTCTATGGGGCTCTACATCTCTGTTGGGACAGGCCAGTCTCTTCAGAAGGGGAAATCATCGTAAGCCTAGCAGCCATGCCAAGAAATCTGTTTATTGGCCCTTCCTTGGGCAGAATGGTCAGCTAAGGAGCCCTGTCTTTTAGGAGGCCAGATTTTTATCAGGGGAAGTTACCACTTCATAAGTAGTTTATCATTTTCTTCATTCCACCATTCAGTCTGGCCTCCTTTATGGTCTTACTAGTTAAAATCAATTCAAAGTCAAGTCTGCTTTCCTGGTTGACTCAATATCATTTCCTTCAGTTTAGCTTCTGTTGGTTAAACTTTAGAAGAAGCTTTCAAGTAGAATTTGGGTCCCCCAGTGGAGATATGGAGAGCCACACTTAGAGGTGTTGCCCTGTCCTTGCCCCAGGCCAGGATGGGTGTAGACCACGGAGGCTGGCCCATCCCAGGCCGTTTCCTGCCTTAAACCTGAATTACTGTGACATCCACTCATTCATTCACTTATCAAGTCTTCATTATGTCAGAAACTGGATCGAGAGGGAGGGATACAAAGATACATTTGGAATCATATCTGCTCTGAGGGGCCCACAGGGTTTGGACAAGTGCCTGTGGTAAAGACAGTGGCTTTCCAATACCAAGCGGGGACAGCGCTGCAGGCTCAGGAGCAACACCAGCCCCGAGATCCTCACATGGCAGCACGACTGGCCCCCCGGGCTCTGCTCTCCCAGCGGCTGTGGTAGGCAGGACAACGGCCCCCTCAAAGATGCTCACATCTCTCCCTGGACATGTGAATAAGTTATGTCTCACGGTGAGAGGGAATTAAGGTTAATTAAGGCTACTAGTCAGCTGACATTGAGATGGGGAGATGATCCTGGATCGTCCAGGGGGGCCCCGTGTAATCAGTGTCCTTATAAGTGGAAGACAAAGGCAGAAGAGGGGGAACCAACGTGAGACGACTTGACCTGCTGTTGCTTCGAGACGGAAGAACGGGGCCGCCGGTCAAGGAATGCAGGCAGCCTCTAGAAGCTAGAAAAGGCCCGGAATGGATTCTCCTCCAGAGCCGCCAGGTGGGAAGCAGCCTTGTCCATAGCTTGATTTTAGATTAGTGAGACCCCTTTTGGATTTCTGACCTCCAGAACTGTGATCATAAATTTGAGTTATTTTAAGTCACTACACTTGTGGTGGTTTGTTACAGCAGCAATAAGAAAATAGAGCCAATAGGAGTGTGCCTGGGGGTATATGTATGTCTGGTTATATGCAAAAAGATTGAGTAGGTGCATCTTTCTACAGCACCATTTAAAATACTATTTTCAGATGGAAGGTAAAATTTAGCATCAACTTTTATGAGAAAGCACAAAAATTTCACATTCTTTGTCATTTGTGAGCCATTTTGATTCCTGGGCTGCAACTCCCCTGGCCTCACTGTCGGACAGAAGCGTTCAGGGGGCACTGATGTGTCTTAGCACTAGTCGGTAACCACCAGGCAACTGTCATTGTTATTCTTAGCAGAATGTCACACATTGGTCCTTTTTAACGTTTTAAAATTCACGTTCCCAAAGATGCAAACATGGGACTTCCATTGAAAGATTTAAAAATACTCTACATATGCCCAGCTGGTGTGGCTCAGTGGTTGAGCATTGACCCCTGCACCAAGAGGTCACCAGTTCGATTTCTGGTCAGGGCACATGCCCAGGTTGTGGGCCTGATCCCCAAGAGGAGGCCAATCAGTGTTGTCTCTCATTGATGTTTCTCTCTCTCTCTCTCCCTCTTCCTTCCTCTCTAAAAATAAAAAAATAAAAAATTTTTTTTAATACTCTATATCAAAATATAATAACATCTAACATTTTAATAATCCTTTCACAAACACTTCTTTATTGGTGCTTAAAACAGCTTTGTGAAGAAAAGATAATTATTCTTACTTGTCAGAGGAGGAAACCAAAGCTGGAACAATTGTCCAAAGTCACCCAGGTACTCAGTGGCCGTGCTGGCTCTTTCCTTGACACCAGGTGATGCCTGGCACATCACTGGAGGTGTTTCTCTGGGGGTAGGTCACGGAGGTGCCAGCCCCAAATCCATCAAGCACCTGCCACCAACGACGGCTCACACAGCCCCGAGCCCGCACAACGGCTGCTCTTGATCCAGTCATTGCTGCTTTCGCTATGACTGTGAACCTGTAACCAGCCCCTTGTCCTGATTTGACTACATCTGTTCTCACGAAAGGCGCACATTGACAAAAGCCTTCCGAGGACTGCACAAGGCCGTTTGCGTTGTGATCCCAGGGCCACGGACACGAGCTCCACGCAGAAAGAGGAGGGACCCCTCCCCTGGCTGTTCTCCTGCGCCTTTTCGTTTCCAGCAGCGCGTTCCCGGGGCCCAGGTATCAGAAGCCGCAGCTGTGTCCGTGCAGTGAGCACCTCGTGTGTACTCAAGCACCATAGAGAGGTTCCGTTTTGTTTTGTAGGTTTATCATTATTAATACAACTTTTATAACTACAGAGGGAGGGACTTTTTTTTCCTCCTTGCCTTTCTCTTACTCCAATTCAAGGTCCATACTCTCTGTAACTTTTCAAACGACCTTTTCGAAGGAGTCTCTCTGACCACCCATATAAATAGCACCCTTGCCCAACCCCACACTTCTTGTTCTCTATTCCTTTACCTTGATCTATTAGTTCATTCAAAACACTTCTCTCACTTGACATCTCATTTTTTCCAATTTTTCTGTCTCCCCTGCCACAGAGTAGATGCTGTATCTCCCTTTTTTGCTGTTGTATCTAGACAAGTGCCTTGAATGAATTACTGAATTCTTTCATCTCCTCGTGCCTAGTACATTCACAAGCCTGCCCTATAAAATACCCTAGTAAAATAAAAAGAATCCATAACAAAAGGGGAAAGCTTTTACTTTTTTAAAAAAAAATTTTTTTTCCTTTATTGATTTTGAGAGAGAGAGGAAGGGAGAGGGAGAGATAGAAACATCGATGAGAGAGAACATCAACTGGCTGCCTCCTGCATGCCCCCCACTGGGGACTAGGCCCACAACCTGGGCATGTGCCCTGACTGGAAATCAAACTGGTGACCTCTTGGTGCATGGGTCAATGCTCAACCACTGAGCCACACCGGCTGGGAAAACTTTTACTTTTTTGTAGTCAAAGTTTCTAGTTTCTGATTGACTGACTGATTGGGGGAAGGGAAGGATCAGAAGCGGGAAACTTTGGACTTTGGGTCGGAAGCAGAGTCAGAACGCTCTCAGCCCCTGGGTGATGTGCCCAAGCCTCCAAAGCCTGCCCTGGGCAGAGCGGTACCTGCTGGAGGCCCTCCTCCAGGTGAGTGGATATTCATGGCATGTTCACTTGACACTCAGAGGCTTTGGTTAGTTTTTCATGAATTGGGTGGTAGGAGATAGTAGAGAGAAGCTGAGTCTACTTTTTTAAGATCCAGTGATTTGTTACAAGTTTGTTCTGAAACTAGTAAGAACTAAGGGCAGTAGAATAAATTCTCCTATATCCCAGTGCATTTGTGGGTTTTGTCTTCATGGATTTTGCAAAGTCTACCTGGAAAACTTACAGTTATTGCTTAAGGGTTAGATCAATGTCCTCCCCTAGGAGAGATTTCCTGATGCCTCCCACCGAAAGGCTGGTTCCTCCGGGCCTCCGGGAGCCGCCAGCCTGCTTCGCTCATATCCTGACATCGGTCTCTTTCCCAGTTCACGTAAATGAAAATGTGTTAAGTGATACCCTTTGATAGTTCAGTCTGAGCACCAGGAGGCCAGAAATCATCTCATCACGCTTCGTATCTCCAGTGTCCAGATCGAGGGCCTGGCTCACAACGGTGCTCGGTAAATGTTGGGAAAATAAACGAGTGAAGTCATGGATAAACACGAAGCGACAGTCCAGCTACAGTTATCCGGTTGTGAGCGTTTGGGCCTTCTTCGGAGGAAACCATTTGAATATGTTTTTCCCCCCCTTCATTCAGGCACTCTGATTGTTCTGAAACATCCGTATCCAAGGAAAGTGGAAGAACCTTCCATTTATGAATCCGTCCGGGTTCACACAGCAATGCAGACGGGAAGAACAGAAAATGACCTGGTGCCCACCGCGCCTTCTGTAAGTGGCCATCATCTGCCATAGCTCTGAGTGTGCAGTAGTGACGAAGTGCGATGAGAGTGATACACTAATGTTTGTTCACGTACAAATTCTAACTTGGGATATAATGCCTGGAAAGGAACATAAAATCCGATGCCTATGACTCAGTTCATCTGGTTCAGCATAAATCTTAAGAAAAAAATAAAATTGAAATGCAATGCAATTTATGAGAGGATCTTAAATACTTAGAAAATGGCACTTAACTCTCCATCCTAACTTAGTCAAACTAGTTCTGCTAGAATGGGTGAGAGATGTTTAAGTTCACATAATTGGCTGAAGTATTCCTAAACAGGTTTCTAAAATGAAGGGGGGAAAAAACGTGGTTTTTTTGGTTTGTTTTTTACATTTCAATTGTCTGTGGAAGAAAAAAATGTTTTTCAAAACTATTTTACTGTAAACCCTGGGGAATTTATTTCTCCCAGGCTTCTCTTCCTTGACTGAATGAAGGGTGCACACAGAAAACACTTGCCCCTCTTTGTAGTGTGTGCCATTGGCCAGGGCCAGGGCCCCGGAGCACACATGGTGCGTCTCAGTCCTCTCTGTTCTGTGAGCTGTGAGCCTGCAAAGTTCCTCTCCGGCACCCTCTGCCCTGCATTGTGCTCAAGCCTCCTCTGTTCTCTTCCTCGTTGTTTGCTGAATACTCCTGGTATAAGACATTTGGGTTTGTGCAGAGGATAAAGAAGAGAGCACACAGGTGAAATATCACGAACTGATTCTAGACACCAACCGTTACACGTGAAAAATATTCACTTGGAGATACTCGGTTACGATTCTATTGAAACAGGTGCCCTTTCTGTGTCTGCAGTCCTTTTTCTACTCTGCCACTGGAGACATCTCTCTTAAGAAACAGATTCACACATGACCTTCCTGCTTACCCTCCTGCTGTGGTGCCCACGGTCTTCTCAGCCGGCCCGGACCCTGCTCACCGTCGGGCCTCCCCGCATGCTGCCCACACACTCACACCGTGGAACCTGCCTCTCTCGACAACATGCGTTTCTGATTGCACTCCTCCTCCCTGCCTGCATCTGAAATGCTATTAACGTCACACTGTCCCTTCGTTTTTCTTTTTTCCTTCTTTTTCAAAACCCTCACCCGAGGATATGTTTCCATTGAGTTTTAGAGAGAGAGAGAGAGAGAGAGAGAGAAACATCGATGTGAGAAACATCAGTCCATTGCCTCCCGTTCGTACCCTGACCAGGGATTGAACCCAAAACCTAGATAAGTGCCCTGACTGGGAATCAAACCCACAACCTTTTGGTATATGGGACAACGCTTTGACGAACTAAGCCACCCAGCCAGGATTGACCCCTGAGTTTTCAAGAATCAGTATCTTCCAGGAAGACTTCCTAGCCCCTCCTGCTTCCTCTAAAAGGCCCCTCTTCTGTCCTCCCCAGCACCGGTCTGCCCTCAGCCGCCTGACACTTCTCAGGGCAGGAATCGTAGCTTGTCTTTGTAGCTTTCTAGCCTAGCCAGGTTCAAAACACACATTACGTTCTTCCACTGAGCTACATCTGCTCAAAAATTAAAATCCTGGAAATTGGTTGAGCAAGACATTTGATATTTCAGCTTTGTTAGAGTTGGAGGAGGAAGCATCAGACCTCAGAACTAAAGAATTTAGGAAAACAAGACAAATCATCGCCAGACCAAGGAACAAGTCAAGACCTACCTTCTAATTCTTTGTTTTCCAGTCGACCTCATTCCGAACGTTCCTCTTTACCCATCCTTGCCTCACCACCAATCACTTCAACATCTCACTCATTTGTACTCTCAGTTTAACTTCACATCCTCCACTTTTACCCTTCTCCTGAAGATCTCCACCTAAGGTCAGTTGTATCATACCCTATGATATGTGTCTTTTACCAACAGTAAAATTCAGGTAATACCTAATTTGAAGAGTTGGTGTGAGCATGAGATACAGTATACTTACGGAGAACTAGACCACTTTAGACCACATCTTGGAAGCCTTATTACTTATCTTCCTTGCTCACTCCAGGTATCCGATGATTTACCTGCCCAAGTATCAATATATGATCATACATACATAGAAGGTTCCTCTGTATGATGGAGGTTTTTAAATGGTGGTGACTGAATGGTTGGAAATGACTGCACTCACACTATATAATGAGAAGTCCATGAAGTTTCCTGTGCATTAATATAGACAGAAAATTATAAAGGGTTCCTAGTGGATACTGAAGTGTGTCTTATTACTCCTCACTAAGGAATGATTGACAACTGGACCAGCCAGCTGGAAAATAGTTCTGGTTGGATCTGATGTTCTTGTCCCTTACTGAACATGAGTTCTCAGTCTTCATTGTACTCTCAATGATGACATAATATTGTACCTTTTTCTACAACCTGAGAGTCTGAGGGCTTTCAGATGTCTCTCTTCCCTTTTTGGGGTGCAGGTCTTGCATAAGCTCTGGCAGTGGAGGAAGAAAAGTAAGTCTTATTTACAGAAAAAAAGAACTTCTTGCCTGAAGTGAAAATGAAAACAGGTATCCTATTGCCCAGAAATATGGATGTTTGTGTAACACTGTTTAACATCCTTTGGAAACTGCATTTGGGGAAATTACTATTTATATATTTTACAAACAACATAAGATTGGGTTCCTCAGTCTAAGATTTGACGTTTCTCAGTCTAACAATCAATTTGTACTTCTTAATCCTTTCACCTTTTTTACCCATTCCCCCAAACCCTCTCCCATCTGGCAACCAACAAAATGTTCTCTGTATCTATGAAAATGTTTCTGTTCTGCTTGTTCATTTTGTTTGTAGATTCAATTGTTGATAGATATGTATTTATTGCTATTTTGTTTATTCATATTTGTGATCTTCTTCTTCAAGAAGACCCTTCAACATTTCATATAATAATGGTTTGGTGGTGATGAGCTCCTTTAGCTTTTTCTTGTCTGGGAAATTCTTTATATGGCCATCGATTCTAAATGACAGCTTTGCAGGATAGAGTAATCTTGGTTGTAGGTTCTTGCTTTTCATCACTCTGAATATTTCTTGCCACTCCCTTCTGGCCTGCAAAGTTTCTTTTGAGAAATCAGCTGACAGTCTTATGGCAACTCCCTTGTAGGTAACTAACTGCTCTTCTCTTGCTACTTTTAAGATTCTCTCTTTGTCTTGAACCTTTTGCATTTTGATGATGATATGGGCCTCTTGGGGTTCATCTTGTTTTGGACTCTCTGTGCTTCCTGGACTTGTATGTCTGGTTCCTTCACCAAGCTAGGAAAGTTTTCTGTCGTTATTGTTTCAAATAGGTTTTCCATTTCTTGCCCCCTCTCTTCTTCTGGCACCCCCATGATGCAAATGTTGGTACACTTGATGTTGTCCCAGAGGCTCCTTATACTATGCTCATTTCTTTGGATTCTTTCTCTTTTTGCTGTTCTGACTGGGTGTTTTTTGCTTCCTTATATTCCAAAGTAATGATTTGCTTCTTGGCTTTACCTACTCTACTATTGAATCTGTGTAAATTATTCTTTATTTCAGTTAGTGCCTCCTTCATTTCTGACCATGCATCCTTCATTTCTGACTGGTCTTTTTTTATTCTCTTGGGGCCCTCACTAAGTTCACTGACGTTCTCACTAAGTTCACTGAGCATCCTTATAAGCAGTGTTTTGAACTCTGCATCTGTTAGGTTGCTTATCTCCATTTTGTTTAGTTCTTTTCCTGGAGTTTTGTTCTGTTCTTTGTTTTGGGATGTTTTATTGTCTCCTTATTTTGGCTGCCTCTCTGTGTTTGTTTCTATGTATTAGGTAGAGTTTCTATGTCCTGGGCTTCCTAGGGTGGCCTATTGTTGTAGGTGTCCTATAGGGTCCAGTGGCACAGCCTCCCTGGTCTCCCAGCTGGGCCCTCAAGGTGCACCCTATTTGTGGATTTTACACCCTTCTGTTGTAATTGAGTCTTTATTGCTGTTGGCATATCAATGAGAAGGTTTTACTCAGGCTGATCAGATGCAAGGACTGGCGGTGCCCACTGTCCACCGACCTCTGACTGCCTTGGATGATCAGCTGTGTAGGGGCCCCCCACACAGAGCAAGACTTACTTCAGCAGGGCTCTGGTACCCACTGAGTTTATTCCTTGAGTGTGTCACCTGTGAAAGTAGCTGGATGGTGGTGCTTCGCAGTGTTCTGAAGCTGTCCACTGGGTGTGCTGACTCTGGGGCCAGGTCAGTCACTGCCCGTGATCTACCCCCGGCCACCAGGCATAAGCTACAAAGCGGTCTGCAAATGGCTGTTTCCTGTGCTGGGCTTGGAGGTGCCCGGCAAAGCCAAGTTGTGAACCAAGGCTGGATGCTTCTAGTGCTGGGCCTGGAGCCACTTAACGAGAGGTATGGGGCTCGCTGAGACTAGATGCTGCTTGTTTGAGAGAATTTAGAAAAATGTGAAGCAGGATCCAAACAGGCCATTCCTATGGTAAAGCAACTGGGAACAGCTTGGGTGGGCCTGAAAGTTGGGTGGGACAGGGCCTCAGGGAATCACCAGGGCAGGACAAATAGTATGAGCCAGTTTTCTGGAGTCCCACATATGGCGGCTATCTGCTGGCCTTGCTGGCCTCTTGGGGGAAGGGCTCACCAAAGGAAAAAGACCTCTGACAGCACATCTGCCCAGGAGAAAGCTGCCTCTCCAGCCCTCGCCTAAATGCCAAACAAAGTTCTTCCCTGTATGTCTCTGGTGACTTTCAAGCTGCCTTCCCCACACTGGAGCCTGGAGGGTGGGAGTCCGATAAGTCCATGCGCGGGCCCTTTAAGAGGAGCTGCCTGGGGCTTCAGCCACCTCAGCCTCCCTCTGCCTCAGTTCCCGCTGGTTTTTACAGCCAGGAGTTATGGGGACTTCTCTTCCTGGCACTGGAACCCTGAGCTGGTGGCCTGGTGTGGGACAAGGACCCCTCACTCCTCAGGGAGGACCTTCCCAGCCGAGGTGTCCTCCTGATTTTTATCCGCCACACGTGGGTGT